CTTCCAGCTGCTCAACACAATCCTTACTCTGTCGACCTCGGCGGTGAGAGTCTTCTCCATTGTCACATTTAGAATAGACCGATGAACCTACTGCGATTATTAGGGTGACTCACAAGACGTCTTATCTTTCATTCTGCAACTCCAGACAAGTGTTCTTCACTTTATCGATTCAGCATGCAACGATCAAGTCTCTCTCTCGGCCGCACAAATCAAAGACCTTTTCAAATTAGTGATGCTTGGCGTTCGTCAGGCAAGCAAGGTCGACAACAGCAATCAAAACGTGTGGGACTCAGAGGCTTGGCGCACCCTGCATGGACGACTTGTCGCTTCGAAGCGGTTCGGTTCGTCGACAGCTATTCTCAAGCTGTGCTCTCAAGTGGAATCGGCCCTACAAGTCAAACACAGCAAACAACACAATTCGATAGCATCAAAAAGGAAAGCAGAGGAAGTAGAAGGTGAAGGTGTTCCGTCCGATGCTAAGCGGAAGAAAAAGAAAAGTGTCCCCACTAGTCAATCGTAAACTGCCGTACTGTAGTTCGGAGTTCTTCCAGTCTCATTGCATCTTGCGTTGAAAGCGCACGAGCAATGGCACCCATAAGTTTGCGTGTCCTGTAAAAGTGTCAAGCTGAAAGGAGGTGGATGACAAGCATATACCGACCTGGAGCGTCGTGTGCGCTGTTCAGTGACGATCTTGCAAAGTTCCGACCGTTCTGATGCAATACGAAGGATATCGTCCGGAAGGCCTGCAAGGCGCCCACACTCGACTCCAAACGACTCCAAAGCAATGCCAGGGGTAAGTTCATACAAAAATGTCACATCCCGAGTTCCGTTTACTCGGATGTCCGTTGTATAGTTCATGTGCAAATTTTGCACTTCCTCGGGAAATTTTCTTTCCAACTCTGTGGCTACTAGCGGATAATGTGTGATGAACAATGTCTTGCACTTCACGCGTTCCACTAGATGATGAAGAACAGCATCCGCAATGGCCATCTGCATGAATGCTGTCATACGAAAATCTTGAAATCAAAATTGTGAACCCACCCCATCAGCAGTGGATGTACCCCTTCCTAACTCGTCAAGAATTACTAAACTTTTGCGAGTCGCCCTTTGTAGGATGTCACTCGTCTGTGCCATCTCTACCATGAAAGTTGACCGTCCGCGAGCGAGTTCATCGGACGCTTCACGAACATCGAAGTCAGCGACAGTGAAAACCAGAAAAAAATCGACGCACCTCCCATCCTGCTAAAAACCCCGTCCAACAGGCCGAGCCTAACGGCTTTCGCAGGTACGTAGGATCCAATTTGGGCCATAATTGCGATGAGAGCGACCATGCGCACAGCAGAACTTTTTCCACCCATGTTAGGTCCCGTAATGACGCTGCTCCTGGGATAATCGCCTCCAATGCACAACGTGTTCGGAACGAAGGGATCCGTTCGTAATGCCTCAATCATTGGATGTCGTCCCTCCACTATTTCCAGGGAATCCTCTTCGATGAACTCTGGTCGAACGTACCCCTGTTGGTGGGCCACATGTGCCAGACTCAGTAGGCAATCCGCTATACTCAACTTATTGACCACATCTCGCATTATTGAGTAGTGGTCTGAAGCAATGGAACTGAGAAATGATGCAAAGGCCTTGTTAGCCTCCGCATTGAGAGCTTCTTTATACCGAGATAATTCATCGATGAGCCTCTTGGCCTCAGGGGTATGATAACGTCTGAAATACTTGGTTCTGTTGGTCGTAAGTGTAGAACGTCTCGTCCATCAAGATACTTACGCAGACATCACTACCCAATTAGTGGGCACTGTTCGATCTTCCAACTTCTTGATTTCGACCAAGTACTGTATTAAACACTCAGCATAATGTGTATTCTAGACATATTGACGCACCTCAATGCCTGCGACAGTCGTCCACGCGAGGGATGGTTTTCGGAGAAGTTTACGAACTGAACATGCAAGTCAGTCAACGTCCTCACTTGTAGATGAAACTTGTTACTGGACTTCAACTCCTCATCGAGTTCCGACTTGACGGTTTCAATTAGCTTTAAATCTAGAGATCAGCAGCATGAAAGAGAGGATCAGGAACATACAGACCAACTTGTATTCGTCCAAGGCAGGAAATTGCTCCGGATCTGTCCACAATTCATCTTTCCTGCCACTGTTGGCTTTCTTGATGTCAATTGCGGCCAATAAAGCTTTTATCGGTGCTTTCAATTTCGGGAGGGAAGAAAAGATATCATTCAAGAGCTTTGAATCAAACTCCTCTGAGTGTTCCGGGAATGCATTGGCAACGGTTTCGAAAGCTGAAAGAAACGATGCAAGTTCTTGACATGTGCACTGAAGCACGATTATAATAAATATGTCTGAAATATGAATCTCCTACCTTCCCGTACTGGATACGGCACAGGCCCTTAGCAAGGTCGGGGAGTCTTTTCAAGATACGGCAAAGTTCCACTAGTTGTGGTAACTTGCTGGACTTGATTTCCTCCACAGCATCTATTCTCTGGTTCAGGATCCTGATCAAATAACGGTAAACGTTGCAATTGCAATGTCCCGGGAAGTACGTACAACTTGTTTGTCAACGGCTTGCCAATCCAATTCTTTAAGAGCCGCGCCCCAAACTTCGTAGATGTGTGATCCAAAATCGACATCAATGTACCATGCGTAGTGAAGTCAGTCTGGTTTTGGTATATTTCACTACGGTTATACATCAGGGACGTTGTTATGGAATAATATTGATGAATACTGACAGGTTAGTCATGGTATTGCCGTTGAGAAGCATATGACTCCTCTCGGTGAATTTTGTGAAAAACTTCACGCTTAAAAGCCCGTCTGCGATGCTGAATGTTGAGAGATATTTAATGGAGTGGGCTAAAGATATGGCAACTAATTGCGGAAGACCAGCAACAAGAGCCAGAAGTTTGTCTGCAATGACCTCATGAACGTCCACAGGACGTAACTGTAACATTACATCTGACCTGGGTTAAGTTCTTCGGTGCTGGTAGTAGCTTTGGTTGTGTAAAAGTTTGTGATAAAATCGAAAGCTTCTGAGCCGCTTAGTGCAGAGTTGAAATACTCCGTCCTCATTCGTTGGTCGTGAGAAGCACTGGAGATCACAAAAAATGTCGTCAGCACAAATTCTCCATCCGAAAAATAAGACAGCGCTCACTTTGCAAAATGTGCCAAAACCTTTTGGGTCATCTTGGTAAGACCTTCGGCGGGAACTAGCAATTCTGCAGGCCTTGTGTGGACAAGTCTTGTCTAAATAGCAATGCGACAACGTTTCAATCGTAATTATGTTAGACCTACCTCGAGCTCGGCGCGCATGATGGTGTCTGGGTGTTTTGTTTGCGAGTAATTCCGGGTAGTTAATCGATTGTGCATACCATGAAATTCATCCCAAATAACGTCACCGGTACTTGGCGTGATCGCAATCATACCAATAGTGATTTCTCCTTCAGCAGAATCGAGTTTATGACTCTCTACAAGACACAATAGGGGTGGTGCAGAGTATTTATCGAGGTCGTCGACAGAACCGACCTCATCAACATAACTACATCAAAGTAAGTTGATCGATTCAGTATGCAATAAGGTCTATTCTTACGTTGCCGCTGTATACAACTGAGTAAGTTTGCGCTCGAAAAGTGTGTTCTTGTTCTCGCTCGCTTTTTTGAGGGCGGCTGTTTCTGTTTGCTCGATGATACCAACCTTGTGACCTTTGGAGAGGAGCCTGACTCAGAATAAAATAAATTCCAGGTGATAACTAGGGTTAAGGCTTACTTCTTCATATGTACCTCTTTTCTATGAACGGGAATGGAGGCAGTGAGAAGGTTCCGCTTCGTATAAGCAACAATGCCGAGCTCTCCGCTGGCAATCTATGGTGGCTGTGTTTCGTAACACGCGAAGATTCCACTCTACTGAGTTCACTTACTTTCGCGCTTTCCTCGTGAAAATAAAACTTGTAGCCCTTCTCAATCATTAGGATCGTCCCAGGATGTTCTTTGATGAACGATAAGGCCTAAATCGATGAATTAATTAAATCAGTAAGAAAGTTAATGTCATTCTTCACGGCATACCTGAGCTTCGTAGGGCGTGTAAGTCTCACCACTAGGCCCGACCTTTGCGGCCGCTTTCGTCTTCCTAACCACAGGCTTCTCGCGTGATTTCCTGCCGCCTTTGGTAGGTAAGGAGAACATTGCTCGGAGTTGGGTGAACGCAGGATCTGAGTCATTTCCATCCTGAGAACTATCACCGTCCACGCTCGAGTTCTCTCTGTCTTCAGGGTGTCCTGACCGTGGGCATGTTCCGAGTAGAATACGTTCCAAGTCTACTCGTGAGCGCGATTTATGAGCTTGTATGCTCGTGGAACGAGAATGCTCCCTTCTTGAGGAGGCATCAAAACGCCATTGACTTGTAGGGGACTCAGGATGCTTCGACTTCAGTTTCTTTATAGGGGGCTGCTTTTCGACGCCCGAGTCACTGCCAGAATCATCTATAGTCAAGTCTATGGGAGAGTGCGAGGAAACGAGTGCACGCTTCTTCGTCGCAGAGCTCTGGACGAAAAATGAAGAGATCTGTGGTTGGTTTCGTCTACTGGCAGGCTGCCCTTGCGGCATCCTGATCGCGTTAAAGAATGCAGACTTGCTGAGAGTACGGTCGCGTCACAGCGGAGTGTATTACGTCACGTGTTTGTGATTTAACTTAGTCTTTTGTCACAATCATGTAGGTATGACGGGTCACGGAGAGTACAAACGGCGTGTTCTTGTGATCGATGCTGGGCCCGGATCACCTTGAAATCTACACACAGGTACTGCTAGTTACTCTTACTTATTTCCAAACAGTTTACAATCGTTTGCTTTGATTGCTTCATTGTTCGCACTGAGCCTAGCGAGGTACTTAGTCACTGAGCTTACATGAGCGTAGAGGGCCAAATATATTATTCAACTTGAACAGAGCAACTGGTTTCAAGGTTCAATTCGTAAATTTCTCGTCGGTCATACCATGTACTGCAGGCTACTTTCACGGTCAACAGCTCGTGTAAGGTTCTTGTGTAACCCGAGCGTACACTCTTTCTCTAGGTCATTCGCTACTGCTTCGTTACCCCCCGATGGCACGGTGGTGTCGGAGACAAATCGTGAGCATTGCAAGACTGGCTGTCGTGATGCATCTGTTTATGCATTTTTAGGTGCTGAGGCTACCCTGAAACGTTTTTGGGAGACAGTAGGAATCTCAAAGAGAGATGACGGACTCGCTGTGACGCTTGACATGCGAGCATTGAAAACACCTTCTGGCAATACCCTGCTGTTACCCGGAAACAAGCGTTTAGTTGCAACACTTATTGCAAACGAATGGGAAAACCAGGAAATTTTGCTGAAACCTCATGCTCTTCCCATGGTATGAGTGCTCAGCGATGATATAATCCCTGTCATTGACTAGCACAGACTTCCATAGCCTCACGGGCCATCGATGCCTTCCAGGATGAAAAAACATGCTCAGAAGTGCGAGAATCTCTTCTCGATTACTTGGATACTGATACAATATGGTGCGTGTTTATTTTCACAAGACCGACCAATCTGATCATGACTCCATAGTTTTCATCACGACGACCCACCTCCGTTGGTAGAACTCCAGCACAAGCACTGGGATCCATTGATCGAGTGGGCGACATCTACGTTCAACATCGACATACAAGTCTTCACCTCAATTTTGTTCCATTCACAATCGGCAGAAACACGAGCTAAGTTTGACACCGTCTTGACTGAGATGGATCCCTGGGAGTTGGCTGGTGAGTGCCATGAAATTATCATTGAAGCTAAGGGGACCACATTGACCATTCTAGCCATGGAACGCGTGACATATACGACGAAATCTTTTTTGATTGCGCTTGCCCTCGTGAAGAGGCATATCACTGTTGAAGAAGCAGCTGTGGCTGCACAAGTTGAAGTCTCGAGTCAGATTCAAAGATGGGGAGAGGTCGAAGACTGTGAGTTTAGCATCGCTATCCTGAGGAGGCGTTCCGAATTCTGCAATTGCCTCCCCAACATGTACTTGAGCGGTACTGATTATAGATCGTTTTACAGCTCACGATGTCGATTTCCACGACATACGCAGACACTTGGGGAGTGCTGCTTGTTTGCTCACGAATAGTTCTTAGATAATGGAAATAAATATCCATCTCCTATCTAATTGATCATCGTTTCAGGAGTATCCATATATCCAAACGTTCGTGCTTTTCGCGCGGAAAGCTATGCTGTCCAATTTAATGCTCCCCCTCTCGCACTTTGGCTGGCTCCGTGACAACCTCATGACGTGTCCAGACGCCTGTCTTGAGCTCTCCTTGTACTTTCTCAAAATATCGATCTCATCGCCGCGAGAACGTGAATTTTTTGCCGAGCCGTGCCGCCTATCATTGCTAAGTTAGAGGTCTGTAGGCAGTTCACTTACGCGGTTCGAGTGCTAAATGTTCTCACTGTCCTACGAGAGACCTCCGGACAGATGATAATAAATTCCTGTGTTGTGTGAAATTTAGATACTTATCCGCCGATGCCGCTTACAGTTTACAGAGTTATTCTACTGCGTGAGCACTAAATTTATTGACCGTCGGCCTTGAAGACACGACGTTTTAGATGACTATTATTCGTTCGCAAGGTTCCTGGACCCTTGCTCGGTGGACCACGCCAACAGCAACCTGATAAACAAGAGCGAGGTGAGGTATTTTCTCAGCAAGCTTTCTACTGATTGAAGGCCTACATACTAACCCCCCTTCTTCAAACTATGTAGGTCACGATTGGCAAATTCTTGATTGGACGCTGGGAGAATCTTAATCTACAGTGAGACTAAGGCACCCCGGACTCACTATCAAGAAAATCGATCAAAAGCTTATTGATCGATCATGATCTGATCGGGACGAGATCAATACCCCCGACCGAGTTTGCACCACCGTTCAGCACGCAAAGGCTGTGTGATATGTGGCACTTTTTTCCTTGTGACCGTGCTCGTGATTAAGGCTTGTGCCTTGAGTGGTGGGATGTAGTAAGTCGAAAATTTACATGAATGCTTACATGACACGCGGACAACGATAACGCAGGTCTTGGATCCGTGCTGTCCCCCATTATTCATGAACAATAATATCCTGCATTGCCTTCTCGGCATTTCCCATATCTTATCAAACACAGGCTCGGCCAAGTATCGGATCGAGTCGTTCAAAGCACAGCGTGAACTGAAAAATATCATGTGCCCCGATGATGACAAATGACATCAAGGCTCAGCTTGGACGGGACTCCCTGGTCCAGTCCGGTGGAGCGTTCCAACTAGCGCGAGGATACGGGACCGAGATCCAACCGGGAGCTCCTCCGAGTCAGTAGTAGGGCGACGATCGTGCTTGTCGGAGTTCCAACTAGCAATGCTTCCTAAACCTCTCGACAGTCCATATACCTCGTGCTATTGCGAGGAAAACATATATTTCCTTGTGCATCGATTTCTGGAACAAGCACAGGTAAAAGCTACATGGGACATTTTTGCTGTCATCGTATCGAATGCGACCAAGACGGTAAACTGTGTACAGCCGAATACGTGAACCTTATGTCACAGAAAGTTTAGGTTGCCCTTTGGAGTCAACTCAAGGCGCCTGCTGCAAATACAGCAGTAATTTGGGATTATCACGCCGTCTTGGTTCTGCGCAGCCGGTTAGAATCTCATCGTGGGTTGCTCAACACGACGCTAAGCATCGAAGAGGAAACTTGGATCTACGATTTCGATTCTATCTTGGAGATGCCTAGTCGTTGGGAAGGTATGCAGATATATAATGTACGGGCGTCATGACAATTTAATCCCGGATCTTGTCAAGAGTATGTTGAGAAGACCTTCCCACCAGATTCAGACATACCACCACAGTATCGTAGGTATGTCTGCCCCCGTTTTGCTCGGTATCGAATTTCTAACATCATTTATTAGTCTTTTCAGGGTTATATCTGGAGAAGAATACCTGCGTTCTTTTGCATCGGACCGATCTCATATGGTGGGTAAAAAGAATCTTTACTTTGCGTGCGACCTGTAATGATGGACTCTTCTCAATTTCAGTTATCTCCCGCGGCCGACTCATCGAATCAGTATATTTCTCCGCCACCCCTTTACCCTATTGTTTGTGGACCCCTAGCTGCTGCACACGGTTTCACCAACAACCTCATGACTCATTTTGTTTCGATGGAGTCATCTAAAGGATACGGGACAGTGATGGATCGAGAGACGTTCGTTAGCTGGTGTTCACAAGCATAGTAATAGTCATAGACTCATGGTGTAATTACCGTGACATGTGACGTGCAGCGTGACTTGGTTCTTCGCTGGTACCAACTTGCACAGTGCACACGCAAGTAGTAACCTTTACTCACTTATTGTTCTCTTTCGTTTTCTTCATTGCGATGAATGCAGCATCATCGACGTCCATAGTAACTAATGACCTTTCGAGTAACGGGCTCACACCTCCTACCGGACAGTCAGAATGCTCATTCAATGGTAGTCACCGTGAGCCGACGAATTTTACTGGGGCTCAGAATGGTTTCTCGCAGTGAGTCGGCTGATTTGATGTCTGTTCCTTGCGTGCGACTTTCTGACATTTGGGTTCGCCACTCGAACGCGTGGTAATTGTGAAATTACCCAACCTACGCAGTCCTCCGTACCAAATGCACAACGAGGAGATTGTACATCACTTGTATCATGCGGGATTTCAGACTGGCGTATGTACATGATTTTTCTAGGAGACGCAACCTAATCTTCACCTTTCCAGAATTATGCCGATACCATACTGGTAGGCGAATTTTCATCACATCATATTATCGTACCTAATACATATTTTTTATTTAGCATGTGCATCAAAATACTTACCGCCTTCACGCCATCGTTCTTTCAAAATCGCCATTGCTAGCGCATCTTATGTCAACCTCACCTCAGTCCGGAGCTCAGCGTGTGATATATGTACAGCTTGAACATGATCCAGAGGTTACCCAAGAAGTACGTGTGCCATTTTACTTATTACTCCGTTCATTTCCGGCCACCGAACGCGGGGGAGAGATACGAAGGTCATATTTGACTCAAATATTATTTTCTTATCGTGTACAACCACCGTCCTCGGAGCCCGTGCTGGGCGGAATTTGTCATCTAGAAACTACAGGAGCTGACAGAATTATTATTACCCCTGCAGGGCTTTGCCATAGGTATGCACAATCGTGTCCTTGATCATGTCTTTACTTGGTGTTCATTTCCGGGGGCATTTCTAGCGCTAGGATATCTATATTCATCGGTTTCGCTAAGTCTCATTCGGCCCGACAATGCACGAGGAGTACTCGCAGCTGGTTGTCTTCTTGGAGGCATGGATGAGTTATGCGGTTATGCGTATGATGCATGCAGACAATCGATCACCGTGGAGACAATCAATGAATGGCTCGAGTTCATTGACACGATCCCTTCATCACCAGATGGATCTCTCACCCCTGAACTATCGCTTGCGTCTGTCTTTGGTCATTTTGCCCAAAGATTGAGAGATGATGTTTTTCACTTCCTCGTGGTGACACTCCCAAACGTCCTGGAAATTAATTCATCCGAGTCCGACCCATCACAGGGCCACACTAGTCGTGACACACTGTTGCGTGTATTTTCCCTTGTGCCCTTCGACATGTTTAAATTGGCGGTCGAATCACGCGCGTTTGAAATTGGTAAATGCTGCTATCGGTCATTAACATTGTACCGAACATTTATCTTTATATTCACAGGATCTGATCAAACCCGTTTTAAGTTTGCGAAGGATGTAATAGAGATGAGGAAGAAAGGGATCGCACGAGGGCACGGAGCAGAAGAAACGGTTGTTTTAGCATTCGGCGGAGGGCATCCTGGTGGAAGCGCCGTTCACGTCACTCGAAAAATACGAAAGCGGCCCCTATGGAAGGTCAACTCATGAAGCCGAATCTTGTTGGAAAGTCGTATTACGTGACTTTTACTCCTGCAATCCCAGTTGACCTATTTTTTGCCCGTTGACTATCGCCAGATTACTACTCGCGCAGCAATGCTCAGCGTTACTTTCCAGTGAAACCCTACAAATAGCCAGGTTCAATATACGATGTCGATCGTGTATACCTGATAGGCAATTTGCTTGGCAGTGTGGTTAATATTAGCCTTTTAGCTGCGCAGAACGCTCCGGAACTTGTGAAGTATTACTTACCTTTTACAGGTTCCGACACTTGTTCGATGAGCCTATCGATTGAATGAACATGAACTGGTTCAATGACCCAGATCCTTCAGTACTGAGTCGGTCTTGTCTTTAGTCACGTAATCAATCCGGTGACACACCCCGAAGCCCGCCTCCACCTCCCCCACAAACCCTTTAATCCAAGTACACAAATTATCCCGCGTTCTGCACGAATACCACGCATAGCGCGTCAGATGCCGGCTAGTCGCCCAATATAGTAGAAAACAGGTTCCGAGAGGTAGCAGAACGCTGTTTGACATGCCGGATGAAGGACTCCTCGAATTGTCCACCTCAATCCCAAAAGTGATGACGCTGAACCGATGCCGGAACTTTTCGCGGCTTTTAGATGAACAATGCATCGCCTTGCATCGCTCTATCTATGCGTGTCTTCTTCAGGCTCCTCGAAGTACACCATGATCGAAATAATATCCAATTTCCGTGACTGAGTATCACGAGTTGCGTTAACCTGCGGTTTGCTCGTCATTCCCCGGGGATATAAAGCCTGTGATCTAGCATTATGAAAAACAACCAATCTACATTCCAATGGCCCACTTCTTCGAGATTTACTTCACTGGAAGGGATGATCCTCGCAATGGTTGCATCGTCATCGGCGAGGACACCAAGCCAGTGTTTTTTGAATTCGAGACACAGTACTTGCCACCTTCCTCAGCACGCACCACTGTCAGTGCCGTCTTCAAACTTTGGCAGGCGACGTCTAACTTGCGAATTTTCATTACAGATATCTAGCAATCGCAGTCCCGTTGCAGTGTTGGATTGGCCAGACGGTGGCCTCGGTGTCGCAACTATCGGTGATCGTGAAATTCCAATGACACACCTGGTCCAACAGGGATCCAGTACATCGTAAGTCGGCATTAATACCATGGCAATGATGCCTTAATATTAAGTCAATTTTCAGCGCTCGTAGGTTCCCTTCTGCCGATGGTCGCCAATACGAATGGCGAAAGTGTCACACTGACCCCAGGTCGTACGAGGCAAGTCAATCACAATGTTTCAAATATCATGCTGAGTTATCAAAAGCTGTTCTCCGGACCCAATACAAGAATCGCCAAGTTCCAGAAGCTCTCTCAAGCCACGCCAATTGGTCCTTCGCATGGAACACTGCAATATAGCTTTAGTCATGACCTTCTATTGCTGGAAGCCTTGATCACTTTGAATCTCAATAGGTGGCTAGATTGGACCGGGTGAGATGTTGGTTGGAATGACAAAGAATATGTATGCATGTATTACTGCCTCTGTACGAATATCAATATCACAACGCCCAATGTAAACACAAATTCTCCATGTGAGCAAGACCAAGCTGACGAGAAAAGATCAATATAGCATAAACGATTATTAACTCCAGCAATCAAGGATTTCTCATCGATCCCAGCATGTGTTCCAGTTTTTCTTCAACCGTCCAATGCATATCGGCGTCAGAGTGGAATGATAATGGGGTAGTGCGGTCAGGGGGTAGGTTACCAAAATTGAATGAACCGGCGTCCATTCCCTGGGAAAGTGACTCGATCAAACGACCAATATGAGTGGACGAACTTGGAGTTAGTCAATTAGTACCGAACTTCTGCGTACCAAGCGCAAGAACTGACCTATAAAAAACCTGCTCCGGCGTTAGCGAAAAGTGGTGTTTGATGATGATGCAAGACCATTCACCTTGGTTTCAGGTCGATTCTTGCTCTGTGATGGCTTTTTGCGAGAAAGGAACGACGAACCACTACCCTTTGACGTCGATCTGCCGTGTTCCTTTACGAACACTTGCAGGGCTTCAGTGTTATCGCGCAAAGAATATTCGGATGCAAGACTGGTTCTACTGGCATAAGCTGATTCAAGGTCGTCGTCACGCAAGCCGTTCACTATTGACCTAAAAACAGTCAGTTATCCAGTGGATGGGCTAAACCCAGAGAACAGTACACACCAGATGGTTTCGCCATTTGCCATCTCAATCAGTTCAAGGGCAGCACCGTCGGGATGACCTTCATGAGAGCTCCCAATGTCCACCGCATCGTCAGCGGGTGTATTTGAATTTTTGCTCTCACCAGCGTACATGTCGTATCTGATGTTAAGTATTAGACACGGAAAAACGGACAAAATAATTACCCACAGAGAATCATACGCAGAGTTCGGCTTCTCGACAGGTGCACCTAACGTTGAAGGATTTAAAAGAACCTCAGCTTGGGCGGTCATTGATGTGGGTAAAGGAGGTGACCGATCAGTTGAGAATCGCTTTCCTCCGTTTGACTTCGGTGGCGGTGGGGTAGGTGCGCGGTCATGTACTGAACGACCAGACTGTGCAGACGTGGCGCTGCCCGGCCGACGATGACGCTTACCCGAAGGCTTACGCGCCATCTGGCTCAAGTCCGTTTTAGATGCACGAAAGTCCGAGGGAAAGATAAGCGTTCTCCTGACAATAGCGGGATTCTCAGGAATGCCTTGATGATTGTGACTGGATTCCCCCGCTCTGCGAATGGAGAGTTTTCTCACAGTCCTATCATCTCCTCCGCTGCTGATGCCGCCATCATCACTAAATTGTGGTTCTGGGAGAGGTGATCGAGATCGCATGGCTGAGAGGTCACCTCGTGCTATGGATGAGCCTGCCGCATTATTTGATGTACTCCTTGACAGAGACCAGCCCGCTGTGCGTGACGAAACTGAGGCGGACCGTGCTAACAGGTCATTTAATGCGGCTTGATCAAGACCAAGATTGGTAGCTGCCTCAAACAACTGTTTGACGGCAGCAGAATCATTGGCCATCGCTGGCGCTCCGTCGATGCTTGGCCGAACGCTACCTACTATAGGCACAGAAGTAGAAGCCAGGACAGGTGCCGAAGTGGGTGAAACGGTATTAACGGGAGAACTAAGTAGGCCTTGACCATGATGTGACGAAGTCGTCGGAGAAGGAGTGGTTGGAGAAGCTCGCGACAGCCCATTACTATTTTCAGCTTGAGTATCTGCTGCACGTTTTCGGAAGCGGGACATAAAGCCTCTTAGGCCAGGGGTAGCTGAGGCCGGGGGGCTAGATATTGATGTCGGTGACTTAGCCTTGCCCAAATCTGTTGAGCTTCCGTAGGCATAACCCTTGGTAAGAGGTAATGTTGGCCTGCGGTTCAGAGAAGCCGAGGGGGGCGGTGCAGTTCTTGGCTGGAGGTCCAGAGGGAAGGGAGTAACTTCTTCACCACTCAAAACTGGCTGTTTGACTCTCAGAGTATTACGGAGACGCCTCATCCTCTGGGTGATATTCAGAGAAGGCTGATGAGTGAGAGCAGAAGGAGGAGTCTTTGGCTGTTGTGGAAGAGGCATGGTTTCTACACTGGTAGGTGCTGACACTAAATGGGGTGCAGATATCTGGCTGGGGGTGATTTTTTTCCGTGTCACAGATACGCTTGAGGCATTGGCATCAGTAAATCTTTGGCCAGAAGAGGTCTTCATCAACGCAGCAGTAGCAGCTTCTGCTTTCCGCCGAACTTCATTTACAAGTTCGGCCTGATCCATCAATGGTCCAGGACTTGATATCGAAGCGGAACGGAATGGGAGTGAATTGGACGATGACTGAATATCATCCTGAGCAAGTGACGCGACCGGCTGGGGAGTTGTTGCCGGTGGCACCTGAGTCTGCGGTGGATCACTAGGCTGTGGTACATCTTCTACAGGTGGACTTTTGTCCCGCGGTGATTCTATAGTTCCTTGCTCGTCTCCAAATCCAAGGGCACGAGCTAGATCCCTATTGCGACGCGTGGTGGTAGGGGACGCCTTGATCTCTGAGGGGTCCTCCAATTCTACCTTGTTATCGGTCGCGACGCCAATCGCAGGTGCGCGGGGGATGCTCCCCACGACGGAGTCAAGTAATGCATGAGCCTTAGCAGCTTGATCAGGCGCTGGGGAGCGCCGTCCGGTAGCGGACGCCTGGGTAGCAGCCGGTTGGTTCGGCGGCGGGCTCGCAACCTGTGACCGGTCGTGAGCCATAAGTAAAGTGGAGTAAGAGAAGAGGACAGACCCGGTTATCACGACCATTCTGAGAATAGTTCGACTGTGAGGTCGATGGCCTCCGTCTCCGAAGCGAATTGGTCCGCTCTCGAGGCTCTGTATTATTTTCCTTTGCGCGCGCAGCGCTCACCAGCTTGTCTTGAATGACCACAAAATCGGATTTTGTCAGGCCTGCATACCGCCGTATGATGTCCTCAAAGTCATCATCATCCTGCAAGCTACCTGGAGTGACGGAGCTAGATTTGTCCAGATCATGCCACCTGGACTGTTGTTCGACATCACTGAAGAGGTCGACAGTTACATCTTTCTTCTGCTCAGCAGACCATGAGTGATAACTGGATCCAGTGGATTCCAGTGAAGACTGAGATGAGTTGGTCAATGCCGAAAAGGCAACAGGCTGAGAGAGTCCAAGAGAGAAATGCGATGATGATTTGTGATGATGTTTTGATGAACGGACGGTGGCATGGTTGAAGCTCGGGGAGTCGTTTGAAGAGAATGCAGGAGAGGCGGTAGTGGACCGAGACTGAGTGGGAGTGGGAGACCGCATACTGCGGGTCGAAAATGAACGCGAGGACCCATAGTTGACGACACCTGAAAGGCTGGAGGGGGAACGATGGTCCACAGGAGCAGGACTAGTCGAACGATTCCACGCTCCAGCATTGGGCGCCTGAGGGTAAACGGGACTCTCAGAAGGCACAGGCACTCGAGTTGGCCGGTTTGGAGATTTAGATTTATCTGCATTAGACTGAAGATCAGTGTCCGTGCTCAAACTACCGTTTCTACTGTGACTGTGACTAGAAGAACTACCCCGCCTGCTGTGAGTGCGGTTGGAGTTAGAAGGTGTACTAGAGGGTGAGTTGACATTCCAAGTGATGTTCGATGGTGTACCCGGTCGAGAAGATACGACCATGGGTCGGAAGGCGGAGCCCATCAATGGAGATACAGGTTTCCTCCTGAAAGCGGATGACACAGAGGCTTCCTGATCAGTACCACTCGCGCTCTCGCGTTGACTGTCCGACGAGTATTGACCACCAGCACTACGTGACAAGAACGAGCTTGCTGGTGGGGCCACGGACGGTGAGATGGGTCGTGGGGTGCTACGAGATGCGTCTGAACCTCGCCGGAGTAAGCTTGAAGTGAAGGTGGTGGTGATGAGTGATGCTCCATTCACGTTTGGGAGCGTAGGTGACATCGCACGTGGAGTTGCGGAATGCGCACGCGCATCATCAGAGTCAAATGAGGGATCACGAGGCGTCATGGGACGAGGCATTCCGGGAATGTAACCTGGAAGACGAGGGGTGGGGGAGATGGTACCCGCACGACCCAGCGGGGTTGGGGAAAAGCGTTGCCTCTCGTTGTCAATGTTCATCTGTTTATCTGATGATATTGCGGTTCCACCTTCGTAGTCATTGGGTGATTGGGTCTGACATCATGGTTCAGTATAAAGTTCTTGAAGAAATCAAATTCCCCACCGAAGCTCCTGACGTCGAATCACTAGCTGGAGATGAGGCACTCGACTGTTCTACGTCACTCGACCGTGGAGCAGGATGTGCTGTTCTAGGCATGAGTATCTCATCCTCGGCCTCCTCTTCAAAATCCCGTATAACACACTCCAGAGCAAGTTCAACGCGCTGAACGCTGACAGAACTGTTACTTGATGGATGTGTGCTATTTTTGTTGTTGTCCGCGAGCGCCTGCGAAGGAAAATCTTCGATAGAGGATATTAATGACGTGGAACGAGCCAAGGGAGTCTTGTCGTTGGGGCTGGAAGGTACTGAAGATACAGGACCGCTGCCTTCGGGAGTTGCAGGTCTCAAACTCTCGGAGTAATTTGATGAGGGTTTTTCTCTGAGACTATGATCGGAGTCTGATGGTGTTATAGAGGCTGCGCCACGGCTGCTGCCACTTCTTTGCGACACAGAGCGTAGATAGCTGTACTCGCGAAACCGCCCAGATGCAAAAAGATTGTTGCTGTACCTCTTTGTTGAACGCGAACTCGGCGACGGCGATGAAGTAACAGATGAAGCTGGGTATGTAGTCGAAGAGGTCGTGGTGGATATATGAGAGGTACGCTCATGAGTGTAGTCGGATTCCATTCCTAGGTCAGTCGCATTAGCGCCAGAGCCGCCCTCAAGTTTGCTGCTCGAAGTGGTACTGGGCGCAGCATTTTTGGTACGCATCCGCCCCAGCGTCTCAAGGATCATGTCCTCTTCCTCCTCTGATATCTGGCTTGGCACACCACGGGCTCTCTGTTCCGCAAACTTAGACCTGAGATCGTCAAGGGTAAGAGGATCGCCGGAGGAGGAGCGAAGGAGCGTGAAACGGCGAGTAAGACTGGGAACCTGTATTGTGAGAGAGTTGTAAGGTTGACAAGACAGGTCTGTGACGCACTCTGGCAATATGAGTGACGTCCGAAAGTCACTAGCAGGCGGGAGTGCTAGTAATTGCTTGTGCTCAGATGTCGGTGTGAACCAGTCTTCGTCAAAAGGGTGACTTCTGGTAATAGGGTCGGACCTTTTGCTAAGGCACGTCAACAATAAAAGGTAAAGCGAAGAAGCCGTTTAATCGCAGCAGTGAGGTGACGAGATATATGATACGCGAATGAGGCTCGTAATTGAAAAGGTAGAGAGCAGCAGGCTCACCGGAAACGATGCATGGCTTTTGCTGGCAGGAACCCTCGTTTAGTACACGAGGCAGGGCGCTTGGATTATTGGATCTCGAGACTTTTCTGGGAAATGAGCCTGATGTGCAACGTGGTGGACACGAGTTGGTGTCTTTACGGAAAATATCCTTCTTTCAGACTGCTTTGAATAGGACCGTCAAAAGATCCTGATGGACCTGAAGTCTACACGTAAAGCAAGATAACGGTGAGCGGAATAAAGAAGGAGGGTGTGATTTATGTGCTTTTGTTCATCCGAGCCTTCAGCGAGCTGAATTGAAGACTCATGCACGTCAGGAAATTGCCACAAAAATTTAAGCGGTGTACGCTCTCTTACTAACAAGTCCATCCTGTTTTGAACTTGCTCCCTCCTTCAAAGGTTGTCTAGCTTTCAACAGAATGGTTGAATGTCCTCCACGTTAATGCCAATGAAAGCCGCAACACCCTGCATGCCAAGCCCTATCAGTTTCAAGATTCTAGATCCTTGACCAATATCTGCTGCGGTGTCTTCGTTCCAGGCCTCGTGAACACAGATCTAACTCCCTTCGCCCAGCTCACACGAAGTGAAGCAAACTAGCTTTAAGTATGTAAATAATACACACGCGGGCATCATGTCAGTGACGCCCGCAGGATACCGAAATTCATTTATGACAACCCCTTTATCTTCTACTGAGTCCCCATACTACATCAGGATAACTCAGAGCTGTCGCGGGAAGCGGTTTGCTACCGTCCAAGACTACATTGCGTACCTGACGCCAGTAAGTATACCTCATTACACGGAAGAAGCCCTTTATGAAACAGGGTAAGACGCCACTTACTTCTTCGTGTACTCCTTTGCTGTAGCTAAGAACTTTGCTTTATCGTTCTTCAACAACTGAAAATCATAACGGTTAGGGGTCTACATCAATTACGGCTAAGACCAAAATCTCACTGCAGCGATTTCAGGCTCGAACGGATCGTCCGGGCTTGGATTATTCACTTTCTCTTGAATTACCGCCAGCACTACAAATAAAGCATGGATCTATTAGCCCGAAAGAATCACAGGGAATATTTCCGAGGTAAGTTTTACCTGTTGATAGTGTTACTGATGGCTTCCACTTGACAGGTCGAATAGAGCTTAATTACACTATCCCTGTGGGTGAAGGAAACGTTGGCCTCACCTCATCACGAAGAATGGGGACGCAAATGTGGCCCTCTTCGTTGATGCCGGGATGGTAAATCTTAGTTAAGAATGTGACCTAGTGATGCCGTGGATGAACCCCCACGTAAATGACACGAAAACGAAGTAAGAGCTATGAAGGTTAGAAACTCAATCGAACTGATGAGCATAGTGGAACGTTTCGGGGTTCGACTCGGATGGATGGATATGCAACGGCATAGAAGATAAAGGTTGATAACTCACATTCGGCGCCTTGAATGGAAAATTGGTCGGAAGCTCGATCTTGAAGTGAAATGTCCCAGTTTTATATGGGCTATCTGGCTTGTTGCGCAGAGATGTGAATGGAAGAGAGGGAACTTAAATGCTACTAATGATACTTACAGAGCCCTTCACTGAACACTTCCAAACGAGTAAGTTATCTGCTTCTGGTTCGACTGTTATTCCCTAAATAGCGCCAGTCAGATAAAGCTACATCTGCTGTGCCACGGGTTACACACATCGAGGGGCCTGTTTGTGATATCTTGGAGCTCCTAGACATCATCCAGGGGCGCGAAGGTCAAGTTCATGGCATCCTCACGAAAGAGAGGAAGGGCACCTTTTGGATTCGCCTGTAAACGATTGAGATCCTGAATCAATAAGTAGCTCGGCAATTCATACCTGAGGGCAGTCATCCTGGGTCTTCTACTAAGTTGTGGACCAACAGTGGTACTAGGACTCAGTAGTGAAATGACAGTGACTTGACCAAAACGGAAATGATGACAAACTCGACCAAATCCGGACTTGTTGTTTGTGTTGCAACTTAACTTGCTTTCAGCCGGTAATCGCGAGCAATGGTAGCTGCAGACTCAAGTTCGAGCATAGTAGACGGACCAAGTGGTTCAAGGCCATCCACTCCTCTGTTGGTTTCTTCCAAGAAACGCAAGGTCGCGTCCCATCCTGAAGCATCTCCTGCACCCAATGATCCAAACAACCCAAGCATAGCAGCCAATGTTGCTCTACCCACCCGAAATGACTTTTTCTCTCGTCCTCGTCTTGCAATATCGCGATTCCCTACATTCATGGATACTTCTGTAGTATATCACACCACAGAACAGCTTGCTATGAACCGTATGGCCTTCAGATACGTCCCAGCAGGTGTTTCGCCCCCTGGATCCACCCTCCCATGTCGAACAATAGAAAGTCTGCCCACAAGCTACAGAGTCAGCTGGGAGGATCGCAGCTCCTTCGTCAAGGTCACTCCTGATGGTATGGGGTTAATTGGTGAAAGAGGGTTCAGGAGTGCGCGATGTAATGCACCCGTCCGTGAGGGCAAGTGGTATATGGAGGTTCGCGTCGAGGATGGTGGAGGAGATCGCTCTACTCATACCCCAGATATTAACATGCGTCAGGGAAGTCATGTCCGACTTGGCTGGGCGCGACGAGAAGCACCTTTGAATGGTCCAGTCGGCTTAGATGCATATTCGTATGGTTATCGTGACAACAATGGTGATAAGGTCTATCTATCGCGTCCTCGCCCTTATGGTTGTTCCTTCCGTAGCGGGGATGTTATTGGCATGTACATATCCCTTCCATCTCGACGCAAACCCGATCCCGGTGACAATCACGACCCCGCACATATTCGACGTGAACGCATCCCTATCGAGTTCAAGGGCCAGGAGTATTTCGAAAGTCTCGAGTATCCTCAGAGCAAAGAGATGATCGCTCTTATGGACTTCTCCAATAAATCAAGCAATACGGCATCACTCCCATCCGCCTCTTCAAACAAGAAAGCTGCATCAACAAAAAACCTCCCAGAGCGAGGTGTACGTCCTGGTCAGGTATTAGAAGCCCCTATTCTCCGCCCTCTACCAACCTTGCCAGACTCTTACATTGCGTTCTTCGTCAATGGTGAATGTCAAGGCATTGCGTTCGAAGACCTATTCGATTACCTGCCATTGCGCACGACGCCTGCGTCGAGGAAGAAGGAAAAAGACAAGAAACGAGCGCGTGAAGGGGCCCCTCGAGAACATAAAGAAAACCTTTTTGATGACGGAACACTGGGGTATTACCCATTCATTTCCTTGTTCAACTATGCCCGCGTGCGCTTGAATCCAGGCCCAAATTTCGACTTTCCGCCTCCCCCTGACATAGATAGTGTGCTCAAGGACACTGATCATAATGCAAATCAAACTCAGACTTGGCGTCCTATTTGCGAGCGGTACCCGGAATTCATGAAGGAGCAGTGGGATCTGGACGATCAAGAAGAAGAAGAGGCTGCATTGGATGCGGCCAAAAGAACAGAGGTCGAGAAAATAGAGGCACAGAAGAAAGCGCAGAGGGAGAAAAGTAGACAGCAAAATGAAGCTCGGAAGAGAGCAAAGAAAAACGCAGAGCTGCGAGGATCTTCGGTTGTGAGTGCCCACGGCTCCACAACGGAACTCGCAGTTTCCAGTGATGACCGTCTCGGGTCGTCTGTCTTGATCGCGTTTACACCGCAAGCGATAGAGCGTGGAATGGATCAGATACACTCCCCTGCACCAACAGCTGTGTCAAGTGGTGATTTAAATCACATCCCAGAAGCGGAGAGTGGGTACAACTCTGAGGTCGTCGAGGGAGATGAAGAAGAGCAACACGATGGATTCGCGGCAGACGTCGATCATCACAATGACGATGACGACGATGACGACGAAGTGTTTAGGGATGCCGCAAGCCCTTACCGCAAATCACGGACGCAAAATAATAGTTCTTCCGTCATGGACATTGATCTAGAAGATCTACTGTAATATATATTAATGTATATCACTTCACATGTGCAATCAGATAGCAGGTGAAGGACGAGAGAAAATGTGAATCATGCAGAGGCAGTGATCATGACCTTCTTGACTCGCGAGAGCGCGATATATTTTAAATTGATCCGAAATGGTCGTCACTGAGCGACGTTAGAGGGTGTGGAACCTTGGCGGGTTGTCGCATATGAAAATTTTCAACACAATCCAACTGTCCAAGTTGCGATTAGGATGAAACCAAGCGGGATATGGGACTCAGGGGACACAGTGGCTGGCAAAGTAGTTCACAAATTAAATTTCAATGAACCAGCGGTGGAGAGCAATGCTACGAACTTGCAGATATCAAACCAACCCCTTTTCCACAAATAGATTGTGTTGCATGGCGCAAATGCAACCTACTCTGATGTCCAGAGTGGGAAAGTACTCCCAGAGCTGCAAGCATCACGAGGTAGTCTAAGTGACGTTGACGACACAATCATGTAGGTGGCCATGTCTCTGCATTAGGGCGTTCAGCCCACCTCTCCCAAGCACGTCCACCGATGCGAGGGGTCAAGCCTGGATATAGAGGATCATAATAGGTGGCGCAAAAGAGATGGCCAGCTTGGACGTGTGCAAACCTATGCAGACATTCTCCAGATCACTGAGGAAACTTCCATATGAAATGGAGAAACTCACCGCCACATGGCAAGGACGAACACAATCTGTAACAGAACTCCCACCCAAACCAGATCACGGCGATGGAAAAAGATATTTTCACCAGTGATAGTCGGCTAGTTGCGAGAATGATAAGATGGGATCATATCAAATGTCTTTGTCTTACCAAAAGCCCGCTTCGGTCTTCGGCTCCCTTGGTATATTTGTGCATCAAGTCACGTTCACACTCTTTCACCGATTCGATACGAAGAGTCCGAGCCAATTGATTCCGAGAACGCCGCGCTGCCCTTGAACGTTCTTCGAGTTCTTTTGAGTAGCTCGGCTTCAATGCGAGATTATCAGGAGGTCTACAGTTTCTATCAATCAGCCTTTGTTTGCGAAGCCTCACGCTTACAATATCACCTATCTTCATCACTCAGCCCACTAGCCCATTCTTGGAGCGTTTGCCGCATTTGGGCTAGGGCCGCAGTGCTACAAATAGGTGGATCATGATGTAGGACTGATGAGCGTTCACGGACATCTTCCTGAACTTTTTCCCCCGTTGCATCGATAACGCAAATTTTATTTTTGCTTGAGACACGAGTACGAGTTTTAGCTGATGGCAAAGCACAGATTACGTCTTCCGCGTCTGCAGGCCCGCTCGCAATCGGCATCGGAAGTTCGTCAATCCTTTCTCGACCGAATGCATCCACAAGCTTCACGATGAAGGCTCTTCTATGTGGACGTGATGATGGTGCGTTGGTACGAGAACCGGGTATCATATGGCGTCCAGGAGTTACAGGCTTAGCTAACACCGAATCGTCTACGAAATCAGCTTGAGAAGAACGGTCGATGTTAATCCTTGTCTGGGGGATGTTCCACGACCGTGATGCATTACCATTGGGTGGAGAGTCGGGCGCAGATATGCGTATGTCGGTTACAGGTGGTACTTGCTGTTCAACTTCAACAGTTGACGCCTCTGAATCCGTTACATCAAAGCGCACTTTGAGAATATTATTTTTTGTTCTGATAGAACCAGACTTGGATTGCCCGTTAGACCAAATCTGAGTTGTGGTCGCGCCTGGGGGTGCTGGGGTGCGCACATGGAGAGTTTCAGTACGCGGGACACGATATACTGGCGTGAAGAGGCCATTACCTGCCGGGGCCTCAGGCTTTGAGCATCGCTCGAGTCTAGAGTTAGCTCGAGACAGAGACGTCCACAATGTTGATGATGGCGTCAAAATCAATCCAGAGGAGACTGGAGGTGGCGATGACACCCTCGGATTGTGTTTGAGTAGGACAGGCGTAGTAGTCCACGCTCCAGGAGGTCTTGGAATCTTCATTGCGGTGTAGTTCAGATGAGCGAAATTATCCTCATCCACTCGCACAGGAGTAACATCTGCTTCGCGTGTCTCTACCTCAGGACTATCCTGAGAGGCGGAACTGGTCAGTGGTGGCGTTTCATGACTGGAAGAGGGCGGCATTGTCTGCTCTTCGCCCTCGGACCTAAATGACTTTAATGGACAGTCTGGGACAGAATGGAACGAGGCAGCTGAAGTTAAGACAAGAGGTCTGATTTGGATAGGTGAGTTGCCTTCTCGTGATAGCGAGAATGGTGATGATACTTTGATATGTATTATAATGAGACGCTAAAAGCCAACATGGGGTGGTAAAGGGAATTGACACACTGGGTTTATTATCCTCATCGTCACCGAGATTCTTCTTTTTTCCCTTACGCCATTCCCTTGCACGGTCGAGAACAGGGTTGACGTCCGTCTCGCTCATGCTTGAATTGTTTCTACCCAGTCTTTTGAGAGGATATCTTTCACTGGGTGAACTTGATGGATGTGTGAGTTGAAGGCGCAGGGGCGTGCTACTGAAGCGTCGCAGAAGATGGACCCGCGGCTGGCGGAAAGTTGATATACGTTGCGTTCCTGAGCACGACTCGGACCTGGCGCGACAAGGAGTATCAGATGCGCACCATCTGCGGCGGCGCGTCGGCCAGTCCGTGTTTCAGTGGCTTTGTATGGATAAATTAGGATTTGCCGCTAGTCTTGACATGAAGCCTTGAGTAAGTTCGATGTGCACATCCGATGCAGTGTTTGTCATTCCCCGCCAATTTCAGTTCTTCAGAATCACCCAATGAGTCTCTCGTTCGTGTTTGGGAAGTTGCAGGCACTGTCGAGATATTGTGCGTATTATACCGCGACTTCATTAAAAATAAAACAGATCGAGGAGAATATAAATTAATGATACAGTCCAGGTAAGAAATAATCAGTACAAGATGGGGTCATAAAAAACACAAATGTCACGTTCCAGGAAACCACTTGGGGGGAGGACTTCGGACTGGATATCTAGGGTGTCGCGATGGTGAATATTTCCAATACCCACCAGAACAAATTATACGCTTACCCAAAGCTGACGCCGACCCCTTTCTCCATCTCGACACGGATGTCGAACTCCAACTCCTGTGTTTCAGGATCGCACGAGACCGCACACCAATTCCGTCGTCCCATTATATACTTGTTTTGGAGGCGATGGTTGCCATTTGGTTCCTTTGTAAAAATAGGAAGCTACAGTAATTATCGCGTGAAATTGCTGCAAATCATTTCTAGGATTCGAGACACACCATGGCTTCATCAGTTTCCGCATGATGCAGTGTCCTGTGAGTCTTAGTCGCCAAAGTAGATACCATAGCGATCACTCCATTCGGAGGCCTTCAATTGGCTCAACACGCTTCATCACATACAATAGATGGCAGCATCACTTACGGTGTGTTGACGATTGCACCTGAAACAGGATTGAAACTCGAAGTTTAAGAGGGAGTAGACAGAACATACTTGTCACCACGTTGATCATGTATCTATAATCGGTTTCAGGCGGAACATCTATCGTCCGGTTGTTCTTTCCTCCGTTGCTGCGGACCAGCGTCTTGAGAACCCCTACAGCTGCGCAGTGTACGTCGCCAGAAAGAAACGAAATACGCAAACTTTTCATCCTTGCTATTCCTTGCATCTGTTGAATGAACCAGTTGCGCTCTTTCTGGAAGGCATATCTTTGTTAAATTGGAGCTACACATGACATTGTTTTCGAACCTTGTGACACTTCGCGGTCCAGTGGTCATTCTGCCCAGACTATCAGCTACATTAATAACACACCGCGTCGCGAGAAAATGGCATACCAAATCATCCAGCAACTCAGCGTCCGCGTTGAATTTGTTCACAAAACTACTGAATGCTGCAGTTCCGCTGCGTCCAAGGGCAATCAAAGGATTCAACTTGGAGTCTAGTGCAGCTTCCAGGAAAACCATTCGCGGATACGCAATAGGGATGCCTGTGGATCAATATGAAACAAAAGCGATGCCGTGATCTCATTGAAGGCCGCACCAAGTTGCACAACGAGATGTTTTACGTCCGAAGGTAGATACCTGATTCGTTCGAAAGCCTTTTGGTACTCGAACTCGCTGCAGACCTGGCTCCTTTTTCTCTCCGCGCTTGTGGCGGTCATGCATTAGCATATATGCCTCCAGACAGTGTGATGTAGTAATCACTTACCGACAGTCCAGCATCAGAATGTGTACATCGGGCCCCAGGTAAGACAAAAATGAATGTGATGGTAAACCAACATAGGGACCTTGAGCCCCCAAAATAAGTGACTTGAACATGTGCTTCCCTGCTCTATCATCCAAGTTATCGTGCAGAGCTACGACGATGAGGTTAGTCTATGAGGTCAGTCTATGAGAGATCTATTTCAATCCGCGACGCACGATTGATAAAGCATTGAAAAAGTAAATAGAAAAAGTAGCCTCGCACTCCGATACTAAAGATGTTATGAACGAGTGATTCTTCCGATATAGAAAAGCTACCCACTGCTTGAACACGGGAGAGTGTTGGAGCTCTTCAGGATCTGTAGGATAACAGGGTCATGATCAAGGATCGATTAACAAGCTTTAAGTCACGTACAACTCCCGAACCCGTCGATCTTGAAACGCGCAAGATTGATCAGTGACAAGGAAATAGAGCGTGATAGTACGCACCAAATCTATAAATGTGCATTGGTCAAAAAGTGATCGTTGCATACATCACTGGCTTACCGTGGTCATCTGCAGATGCCACATGAGTGTGTTATCATTGATATCAAATTCGCATATCTTACCACACATATTCAACATTGGACTTCAAGGACAGGAGGAATTGATAGTGAGTAACAGGGGATATATATGATTATCTGGCTTACGCACATCGAGCTGTTCGCCCTCGCGAATGCCCCCATCCTGAAGGAGCTGCAGTAGTGATTGAAGAAGAAACGATCAACGCATGAGACAATTTCACCAGTCAAAGGGAAATTTTTCTTCATGGAAGGCTTTGCTAAAATCCACTCTTGTATTTCGGGCTCTCGAGTCAATCTAGCAAAGAAGCGTGAATTTTTAGGATGGCAGAGGTGCATAGACGCATACGAATCGCAGTATAACTGATCACCTCCTCCCACGAGGACATGAAATGGTCGTTCGACATGCTTCCGCAAGAGATCGATCCACATAGGGTCATAACCACTCTTGAACCCTGGTCCTCTGAAGTCGTCCGGATTCACACCAGCGCTGAAACCATTACACTAAGAAGAAATAAGACAATATGCAGCGAACAGATTGTGTTAATATTACCGAGTGGGCTGCCCACCGCATGTTTTGATGACGGGCGGGCACGAAGAAGGCCAATTGCATGCCACCATTGATACGATACTTGATGCAGATTTCATTGAGACCCAGTTGTATCTGGATTGGGAAACGCCAAAACGTGAAGGTGCTGATATATATGTCTGGGTTCAAAGATCCCTTACTACTGTATTGGTCGGTTGCACTCACCCACCATTCCCTGAATAGACGTAAATCTCCTGACCGGTCACATGCTGAGTTTGATCATCCCTCGTGTTTCCTTTTCCCTTGTAGTCACCGAAATATGCCTCGTTTATGTCAGGTAACTGAGCTGATGGTCCAGCCATTGCAGTAGCGTGAGGATCCGCGGGGTGTGGGCCAAGGTCATAACCCGGATAAGAACCCTGCATGCTCGGAGAAGGTCGGGCAATCTCCTCAGGGTCCCACTGGTACGTTAAGACTGGAAAGGGTTCATAGAATGATCCTGAATCTGCGGCTAAAAATGATGTAGTTAAAATGCTTGATTGACCTGTCACAGGCGCAAGTGAAAACTTACTGATGATAAGAGCTGCACCTCGCCAAAGACCATTTTCGTCAACTGTGTCGTATCGCAAAAGGGGCCCGACCATCAACTGAAGGTGGGGTTCCATTCTGGGAAGCCTCTGTACTCTAGAGCGTTCCACTGCATGCATGTGGGCCAAGGAGACGCCGGAGCTACCAGACGCCAACTGTTCAATCGAATGACTAGCAGAAACATTTTGGACAGGCTTGTCGGTGAAATATTCGGGGGGAACAGGCGGTGCACCAGGAGTCGGGGATGACGAGCGTGGTATACCAAAGTTACCAGCCTGAGCACGCCCGCTCCCATCAGGAAGTGGATCAATCTCTTCTACAGGTAGATATCTCCCGTCTGGCCCTCTCTGAATCTCAGAAAAATGATGCGCTTCCTGTGTAGCGCCAGATTCTTATGTAAATCGCTTCTAGGGCATGAACTATTACTCACCTTACGGGCTCTGCGCTGAGCATGCCAGCCCACGGTATCCATGCTACGCGAGGATCAAGTCGTTTGGTGGCGGGTGATTGTACCAATCCTAGACGTATGGATTTGAACACACCGTGACATATTATGGCAGTGCCAAGCTAACGTCATGGCAGTACTGGATACCTACTACCTAGTACCTGATCTACTAGTCTCTTTTCGGTGAGCCCGTACACTAGTATAGTCTCGAAAACTTGTCGGAAATTAATTGCAATTGCACACAACTAGCTAGTAGGTAGAGATACGAGTAATCTGTATGTTAGCCGGCGTGTTCCACAATTGTTGTGACCAATTTGCCATTCTGTACCACTGTCTTCAGCATCTCGGGCACGGCCTGTTCTTCAAAAACACCGTCTTCCTCTCCTTCGACTGGTAAGCTGACATTGACTGCACTGCATTTCGCTGTAGTAATCTCTACACCAAGACACTGCTTCGAGAGGTAAATCTGCCCCGAGTCTGTCGAGTCAATCTGGATAGTAGGCGCCACCCCTGTAATTTGCAGGGCAAACGATGGAGACTTCGTGATAGAGACAGAAGAAACCACAGATTCGACTAGTACGGAGGTCTTCGTGCAATTAACTGTCATAGACTTTTGAGTAAAAATACTGTTGGACCAAACCAGCAGACACTGACCCAATGTGACGGCGTTGACCTTCCCCTTGATAATGACAGTCGTGTTCTTGCAAGCAAAGAGGTTGATCACTTGGGTAATATCTGCATTGGCGACCTCCAAAGCGGATTCATTTTCTTGATATTCCTGGATAACCCATCAGACGAGTTACCTCATTTGAAACGAGATGCTTACAATGATCCATTTATTGCCCTCCAGTGCGAATTTGGCAGGCTTCTTTCCCATCAAAGCCTGTGGTTTGGTTGGTTTAACGGGTTTCTTGGCACCTATTCGCATAATAAGAAAAAATTGATGTAAGAAGCGCAAGATAACTCGCCCGCCCCGCTGCTTGCAGGGACGACATTTCCAGCCCGCAGGGCAGGATTCTTGTGTGTCATCTCGCTTTTGTCGACTTTACGTAGCCCCTTTGTTACGTCAGCGCCGCGATTCAAGTCCGCAAACACAGCAGCAACCCCACCAGCAGATGCTGTCGGGGGGGATGTTGATCCTGCGTGAGGTGGAGGTGGCGGTGGAGGTGGCGGCGGCGGACCACTGACTGGCTGTGAACGGGACGATTTGTACTCTGAAACCGGTATACCCTGCAGGAAGTGGTCTATGATAGTTTGTAATTCAATAACAAATAGATACTCACGCTGGCGTTCCAAACAAGACCAGTGGTGTGGAATTCCACAACATAGCGCTTCATTCCATCAAGAACCCCATTGAATGCGCGAACCCATTCCGCGTGCCTTGGGTCCCTAGAATGGACGTCAACTCAGACCATTCCAGTAAGAAGTCGGTCGTACTTTTCTTTGAAATCCTTGAGTATCCTGTTCGCATAGTACGTGGTACTTTCCTTGATCTCATTCACGTATGGTCCTGGTTTGGGTTCCTGCAGGCCGTTGTCATTCAAAAGGTATGTTGACCCGTCAAGATCATACCACAGTGACCCATCCAACAAAAGCAGTTCCATCTGCGATGACAGTGAAGTGATTGAACCAGTCCCGCTCCTTTCTGGCAGCCTCTTTAGCACGAGTCACGGCTTCAATGCTTGCTTGGAGTGGCGAAAGGATTTCGGCTAATGCCTTCTGGTCGGGCTTTCTGCATGTGGCCGCCTGGTGAAGTACAGACCGCAGGGTAGCAAGTACTTTGGCAAATAGAACAACCTGAGAGATGCATATCTTCAGTGTGAAGTGTAACAAAAATCACGGAAGTATAATATTGACCTGCTCATTTAGTGGAGGAGGCGCGATGGCTTGATTGATCTCCAGAAAAGGTTTGAGCTTCCCTTCTCCAACAATCTCATCGTATGCGGTGACTGCCCGTGGCACTGCTACTGGCGCCTCAATCGCAGGTGGTGGCAGCGGGGATGCCGAAGCCGATAAAGTTTCAGCAACCGCTGCGCTAGTAACAGTGCTGGTACTCTGTCGTTTGAGATGTCCTGCACTCCTGGAATCCTCTACGTCTTCGAGACGCGATGTGATTGCTTCAAGCCTAATCACCCATTGATGTCAGCTCCTGTAGAACTGGCTTCTACATATCAATGATGCACACCGTTTGATGAGAGTGGCCAGTGAGTAAAGCCCTTGAGCAGAAGATGACATATCGACAAAAATTAAATTCCCTCGACACTAGTAAGTTCCAGATACAAGAAAGCCTTCGGGAGGCCAACTATGGCCTTGCAGGTAGGTAAGATGCGTAATATGGTGAGAGGTATACTGAGAGCTCAGGTTGCTGAGAGGACCGTTCACACCTCCTCTCACCGGACTATTCCGCAGCGCCGCCGCATTTAGTACCTGCTGCGACTGGCGCACCAGCTAGTACACTTACTACCAGTCACGCTAGTTGGAACCTCCTAGTTCTTCAAGTGCTCCAAACGAGCCATGGAGTCGAGAGTGCATCGATTCCTTGCTCATATTTACATTCACACTCATATCACACAAGATAATTAGTAGTGTCGCAAAGTCAGGTCTCCCATTTGTTCGACTGTGGCACTTCCTTGTCGCTAAACAATCTTCCATGTTACAATGTATAGTCTGATTTCTCCCCATACAATGTTTTTTTTTTCCAAACGAGTGACTGCAGTCGCGGGCATCATCTCAAGACGGTCAGTGCCACATTTCTTCGCTTTCTCGGTCCTCGATGGGATTTTGTTGCCTGTCACTTCTGACTTGGAGGCCTGAGGTCCTGACGAGTGATTATTGGTGGATAATTTCGAGGATCAAGGGAATGCTGAATGGCATTAATATCGACGCGGGACGACACAAATCGCTCAAGCCATGATAACAAAAGACCAGCTTGAGTTGGTGATATCGAAAAAGTACCAACATTTCAAGTTGACTGACATACTATGTGCATGGTATCTATCGTGGTCATTGCGAACTTATGTTGCGACACTGTGTCCGCGACGACCGCGACAAGGTACTGCGACATACTTAGTAGTAGTAACATCTAAAACGTCGCAGCAAATACCGTGACCGATGATTAGTCGCAACAGCGGTGCAGTATTCTCTTTGTGTCCTGTTAACTGGTGGTTGCGACAACACTCTATGTAACTGCTAAAACCCCAGTTCCTAGTACCAGGGAGTGCCAGGACAGATCTAGCAGCGGTCACTTCATCATATGTATGGCGCACCCTAGCCCTGGGGTTCATCACTTTCCAGGCAATCCTTCTCTTGCGCTCGCCTTCTTCTTCGACTTCTTCCGTCGTTGACGTTCTCTTTCCTGTTGCTTTGCGCGTTGTAGTTCACCCTTTGATAGACCAGGGTTGTGTAGTTTATCTAGCTAAATGAATTCAATCGCAGGTTCCAGTGTTTGATAGGAACAATTTGAGTTAGTTAGCCTATCTATGTAGGCGTAACAAGATGTTGAGAGACACACGCCTTTTGCAGGAGCCACCGTCTGGCGAGCATGCGATTTGTTTGGAGTGATCGAGTTTCCTGACATGCTACACGAAAACCAGTGGGTTTATGAAGAAGTTGAACATTATTCTGAGTCTTATTAATAGACTGTCCACCAGGACCACTGCCTTGATCATAGATCAGTAAATACCCCAATTAACTCAAAACAGTTCGCGTTTGATTTCACACCCACCTCTAACGAATGATTCCTCGATATCCTCTTCACGCAACTCCGGAATTTCCCGATCTTTGTGAGCCCTCCTGAGAGCGGAAAAATTGCGCGGCAAATTGGGGCTAGGCTGAGCAGCAGGTTCTACACTATAGGTTAGCTTAGTGACCCACTGCAAACTTTTTGATGATGAGATAAACCTTTGCCCGCCCTTCTCTAGTCTCCGTGCTTGTCTGCTGGAAGGCATGGGAGGTGGATTCTTAATACTCTCGTTTTCACCAAGTTCAGTGTCCTTCGTGAACCGAAGCTCTAAAATACGATTTAGTGACTCGAGATGGGTCCAATCGATTACATACTCCAAGCATCATCTCCGTCTTGGGTCTGTGTTCTGCGAGCTTGCACAACATTTCTGCGTAGCATGGTCGCAAGCTCACAGGCAAGTCGGATTTTCTCTTCGACCAGTTTCACGTCATATTGTGCGGAGTTGTCCAAATATAATGCTTCTGTTCGCATGTTGCGTCGGAATGCTGAATTGAATTCTTAAGTTGGGAAGTCATTGCCATTGAGTGTGTACAAACCTCTTTGTATGGGCTCGTCTCCTACAAATCAAGGTAAGATAGTCCATAGAGGGAGGTACAGAATTACTTACCATGGAAGGTAGAAGCTGAAGCTCGTAGTAGGTCACGGTATGCCGAGCGCGCAGCTGCTCTGATGGCTGGCGTAACAGACATTTGGTTGGATGTTAGTATCGCAAGGCTACTCGATACTTTTAACCTACCGGCAGGTTCCGACGTCGATCAACACACATTCCAAAAGGGGACCGAGCAGCGATTAGGGCGTAAGACGCGCCCCTTTTTTGGACGTGTCGCGTTCTGGCTCATACGAAGAAACATGTCTTCTTCCTCCCTACCCCATAAATCGTCCAACCGACCAATAAATGAAAAATTGAGGTCCTGCAGAAAGCAGCAGCTGAATGCGCGTGCTCCAGCGCGTACGAATTGAATTTATGTGCAGTCTCTTGAGTATAATTGCCATTTTCAAGGATCAATATGTACTGAACGCTTGTGTGTCGCATTTTCTGCTTTTTTCAGTGACAAATCCCCTACCGTACCCAAATTCACTTGCCAGGCAAAATGGCGACCTAGCAGGACCCTCTATGCAGAGTAAATAGGGTCGATAAACCTATCTCAAATATTGGCTCACGTGACTCGCGCGAATTGAGTTTGTTGACTGCTCAACGCGCCCTCGGAGTTTCAACACATCCCTCTCTCAAACCACTACCATCTCCAATCCATTTGTTTCCGCCGGTTACTCTGGTCCCTTCTGAGCATTGCAATTAGCACAGACAGCAAGAACAACACTTACAGCACTTACTGCAATCGCTCGCAATATGTCTGCAAGGAAATCCACTACGAAATCGGCTGCTAAGAAGAGCAGGGCCTCTCCCACCCACCCATCTTGGGTAGATATGATCAAGGTCTGTCAGTCAATATTCTAGCGTGCTCGATTCCTTCCTGTACCTCTCCTTCGTCCGATGTCGAGCACCACAGAAAGGATGAGGCATCTGCACCCAGGGGGTACTATAAAAGGCAGGTCCCAGGGGGAGGATATGCAACTGCGGGTGACATACATTTTTTCTCTCCTAATCACTTCAGGGACCTCGGGTCATACATTTTTTACATCGTGTAGGATGCTAGAAGGCATAGAACAACTTTTCTAACATGATACATTACTAAATAGGAGTGCATTACCGCCAATCCCGATGACGCTCGCTGGTGGCGTCTCCCGTCCCCAGATCAAGAAGTGTGTTTGGCTAATTCCTACTAGACCGAGGGATGCTTATAATTTCATAGATTTGTTGAGGAAAAATACAACCTCACCATGGACAACGCTCAACTGAATCATTTGAGCAAGGCCATCGCCACTGGCGCCGACAAGGGGACTTTTGTCCTCCCCAAGGGTAAGAAAATTATTACGTAGGTCTCTCACAGTCCCGTGCTGATGACTACTGCATAGGACCTTCTGGTCGGGTGAAATTGCCTCCAAAGACCTCAAGGGCCACTGACACTTCAGCATCCAAGGAGGTCCGTGCACCTACTGACTCGAACACGTGATACGGTGATTGATGTAGTGAGAGTAGAACAAGCCCGCGAAGGCTGCACCCAAGGCGGCTACTAAGCCAGCCGCTAAGGCACGTCCCGCCAAGACTGCCACTACGAAGGCTACCACCGCAAAGTCTAGTACGGCCAAGAAGCCAGCTGTGAAAGCGAAGGCCGCACCAACTGTCAAGGCCGCCGCCGCCAAGAAACCTGCCACTCAAACTGCCACCAAGTCTTCAGCGACGAAATCAGCAACTTCCACCAAGGCAAAGGCAGTTCCTGCAAAAAAGACGATGGCAGGCAAGAAACCTACCCCTGTCAAGAAGGTTACCTCAGCATCTAAGCGTGGCACCGTGAAGAAGGTCGGATCACTAGTATTTTGCGCATTTCGTGAGCCGCTCACTTTCAATGTTTCTAGGCTGTGACTGGAACGAGCGCGCCTGCGAAAGCAAAGACTGCAGCCACCAAGAAGACAAATGTAAAGAAACCCGCAGTCAAAGCAACGGCCTCGACAACGAACAAGAAGAAGGTATGGACCTAACCCAAATGTGCTGTGATTGTCGTGGCTTGACTACTTGTCTATCCAGACCGCCAAGAAATAGGTGACTCCCCATCCGCCATCGATGATATACTTGTTCTCCTGATCTCACGGTACACTAAGGTGTAGAACCTAGTCTATGGCTACGCTACCTACTCCATGCACTTTTCCTCGCGCCTCTGATTGCACATTTCTTATTTCTCGTATTTGATTTGTATTGTAATTTATTGGGTCCTACTACTGCCCGCCTCTCGATTACCAAATCATCAATTTTCGTGTGGGCCTGTTGTCGATTTAAACCTATTGCAACGTTCCACAGTAAGCTAAGACTCGAAAAAATTAGGGTCGTGGTACAGATCTAGGGGTGCGACGTGGAGGAGAGCATCCGCATTTGATGTATGTACATGACCGACCGCACATTTACCAGTAAAAACTCCGACTCTTGTTACTAAATTGGTTGTTTCACGCTTGCCACAAGCAGTCACAGCGCGCCTTCGAGGAGGGACATGTCCAGACAGTCAAGTAGCATGCAATCGCCGTATTCTTACTCGCACCAGCATCAGCTATCACGCTCGGCTTATCCTACATTTATCTCTTTACAGGAAACGATCAAGCTGCAACTGACATGGGCATCCAGGGGTGTCCTTGAAGCCTTTCGGTGGGATGTTGTTGTGAAGACTGCTACAAGGTACCTTCCATTCACTTATTGTCTCTGTATTTTGCCATCCTACACACAATTCCTTGGAAACCTCACAGCGATCGTGAAATTCGTTCAAATATTCTCAAGTCCTTACTACTCAATTCGTTGTCCTTGACCTCTATCTACGCGTTCGACTTGCTTCTACAACCTCTCGTGCATAACCACCCAAGCTGGCTTCACCGCAATGTTGGATGGTTTTATCGCGTTCTTTGGCTGTTCCCAGTTGTCGGAGTATCTTACTATCTTAATGTAAGTCCATAACCTGGTCTTAGGCACTTACTTCAGCCAGAAATGAACCACAATCATTTTACCAACTTCTTTCATTCAGAGTTCCTGGTGCAATCTTATCGCGAAACGGTCCTTTGTTCTTCAGCACGGGAACCGTGCAGCACATCAGCAACCAGTTACTTATCACGGTATGCTGACCATGCTCGCGACGTCTGCATACCGTGCTGTAATGATTCTTACTTCTGTCATCGTGTCGTTGGCTTTGGGATCAATACCATTTGTTGGATCGTGGATTAGTTTTGCATTCATGTGCTGGGTTAATGCGTCAGTGTATCAGCTGCTGGATGATAAGAGGCACTTCTAACTTTCCTTTAGATATTATTGCTTTGAGTAAGTTGCCATGGCCCAAAGGTGGCCGCTCTCACTGAAATACGGGTACCTCAGGTTTGTCTGGGTGGCGCGTAATTCGTCCTTGGCCCAAAGAGTGCGTTATCTAGAAGAACGATGGGCATACTACTTCGCATTTGGTTTTCCATCCGCTGTGATCTGCACGTGCGGAAGTGGACTGGCGAATGCTGCATTTTTCGCACTCATGTTCCCTGCCGTATGTCGCATGATATGGTTTCCTTCTTTCCTATAGTTCTGTTACTGATTTTTATCGATATTCAGTTCATCATCATGGCCATGCATGCACGGCCTGTCCCGCAGGATCCTTACAATCCTGCACCCTCCACGGAGTCTACGAACACCGTGCGGTTTCCCTCGCCTCTCATTCCCATTAGGATGCCGGTCTTTACAATCGTCATTTGGCTGAATGATCTCATCGTCAGAGTGCTGAGTGTGGGTGGCAGCGCCGGTGTTCGACACCGGAGAACGACAAGTGACACTACCGAACAGGCAGAAGAAGGGACAGGTGTTGAATTAAGGAACATCAGTCGCACAGTGAGAGGGCCTCCCCCCGCTGTTCAAGCAAGGAGCCTTGGAGACAGACTACCGAAGTAATAGAAAGGCGCCTATCTCTGGGAGACAAAAGAAGGATTGACGGATTTTATGGCGTCATGGTCATGATCTTACAGGCAACTTCGACTCATATGCCATCAGCTAACGTCGTACGCAACTTTCACGAACCTATATTTGAATAGAATCTATACCCGTTTGACAATAATGATGAAATCAGTGGGGCGAAAGGAACATGATTCTGAAGTTTTGAGATGAGGCACAGTTGCTTCTATATGCTATTCAGTTTTCAGCCAAATCCTGCCCATTCGACAGATAAATATGATACAACTTGTGTTTCATCATTCCATTCACACAGCAAATGCGCCTTCTTTGTCCCTGTGCCAAGACGGCCATGAGCAACAATTTCCATTGGGCGCAGGGCGGCATCCGGAGCCTCGATTACCGATGCGACAAAATGAGAATGATAACGGAGGGGGTCACCTGATAAGACAAATCGCGCAGGTCAGCACATATTTCAGATATACACGCTTTCGAGGACAGGCGTGGGTGGCGGAGCGGGAAGATCCTCAAATAGAAAGGAACATACCAGGGTAAACCAGGTACTCGCCACCAAATTTAATCCCCCCTCCCATGTAGTACCCTTTCTCCCACAAGTCGCGAAAGACGCCGCAGCGTGCGCGCTCTTGTAGGGTCGAGGGATGAAGCCATATGCCGGCTTCGCGTGCGATAGTTAAGGACACGTTGGAGTGTGGCGCGTACCATTCCAACTTGGATGAGGATGCAGGAATGTTGACAGTGTAAGATCCGGAGGGCATCACGACAGTGCTATCCAGGGGTTCTCCGATGGCAGCCTGTGATGGATTTTCAGATGTGGGATGAGGAGATGGACTATCTTCCACAGGAGCGCTGGGAGCGGCATTGGTCTTCGCACGTGCGCGACGCTCTTCTCGTTCTTTGCGCTTGCGCTTGGCATTTTCAGACATGGCACGGTCAGGGTTAGAAGCTTCGATGGACCCTTTCTCTTCCGTCAGAGCTATTTGTTGCCTTGCATCGTTAAGGCGCGCTTCTTTCCATAGTCTCAGGGTTGACGGAGACGGCGCGTAATGGGCGCTGGGATCGTCCACTAACACGGCAATTCCTGGACACACGATTGCCGCGAGTGAATAGGGTGCATAAATTTAAAGACGACTGACCATTTTCGACGAGGAGAACAGCCTCCTCCGGCATCAGTTGAAGAGGTAATCCCAAAAATATATTCTGCGAGGACAGGTGTGGAAGAGTCCCGGTGAGGATACCACATATATGATGATGTGATCGTAGTATGTTGATATCTGCTCGTGCAAGATTATAAGTGTGAATATCAGGTTACGAGAATGACTTACCGTCGACATCCCACACGTAGGCTTTGAAATTTGAGACACGAAGCAATATAGGCTGTGTCATAAGACCTACAGTTGAACTGGCTATGGGGTGATTTGAGAATTGAAGCTGGATCAATAGGACTTAACCAGGTTTTCATACTAAGTTTGGCATCAACCACATGACTCCCAATGCGGAATGCCGTAGCATACACTGCCCATGATGATGTGTTTATAAGATCATCATGATAACAGCCTGATACCCCTTCATTCCAAACCATCGAATAGAGCGATTGAGTGGGCAACACAGGTAAATGTCTACTGTCTTTGGACATCTAATATCTGATCGGTCGGTGACCTCGAAAGGCGAAGATAAAGATATGGCCGCCAATATACAAGATGTTGTCATGCTCGTCGGTGACTCCCTTACTCAACAGGGATGGGATAAAGGAGGCTTCGCACAGTTACTTGCAGGTATGCATATAACAAACATTTGGTATGAACTTGAATCTGAGGCTGCGAGCTATAGAGATGTACGTTCGGAAGCTCGATGTTATCAATCGTGGCCTCGGGGGTTATCAAACGGACTGGGCAATTCCAATTTGCGAGCAGGTAAAATCCAATGTTATCATTTTATAAATCGTGCTGAATGTATTTGTAGATCTTTGCCAAACAGCATGAGCAACATCACGTTCCGCAGGTCAAGCTACTCACAATTTGGTACGGCGCCAATGACGCTGCACCTGCTCCAAGCCCACAGCATGTCCCGATAGACAGATACAAAACAAATTTAAGCCATATCATTCAGATGGTGAAATCGCCAACTTCAGCATACTATTCCCCTGAGACCAGTATAATCTTGATCACCCCACCGCCAGTAAATACGAAGCAATGGGACAGACCTGACAGTCCACGTGTATTCGAGACTACGAGGTCGTACGCGGAAGCTGTCAAGGAAGTAGGTGAGAAAGAGAATGTGCCCGTCGCAGACGTTTGGACAAAGATATTCGATGCCGCTGGTAGAAGTGAAGAGGCATGCGAAAAATACCTGAGCGATGGGCTACATCTAACCAGTGATGGTTACAACGTACGCGCAAACTTGAATTCTGACCTGTCAGGCTTGCTAATTTCCAAGACCAAAGATCGTCTTCCAGGCCGTCGTGGACATTGTGGAGCGCGTGTATCCCGAATTGGACCCTACTTGGGAAGCACATGCAAAAATGCAAACTGTGTTTATACCGTGCGTCCTCTTTGGACTTATTTTCGCTGCGTGACGCTGATGCATTTATATGCAGCTGGGACCAAGTGAATGTACAGAATCCAAGACCATCTCTGATGAAACGGAAAGCGCAATTTTAGTCTTGAATATCAAATGACTACGTGAACGTATGGTTAACTTCTCTTTGATTTGTGACATATTAGATTGTATTCATGCATGTGGAGAGATGAGCGGGAGGATTGGGAACCCGGTGCTATGGGTGTGACTTAAGGACGCAGCCGACTTTCATATCGGCCATATCATGATTGTGACAGTCCCAACCACATGACTATCATAAGTCAGGGTACCGTCGATATCGTAGAGCGGGTGTATCCTGAACTGGATACTACTGAATCAGCATATCATGGTGTCACGGTGAAGATGCAAAATGTGTTCATACTATAGTGTCGGTGACCGTCGTGCGTCCTTTCTGAAATTATTTGTAATACAGTCGAAGGCTAGCGCTCAGCTCTGATGCATTTACGTGCAGCTGGGACCAAGTAAATCAGGACCGTCTCTATTAGTGAAATAGAAAGGAACATCTAGTCTTTGAAATTGGAATATTGGTGAGTAGACGTCGCCTTTAAATATAATTACCATTACATAATATATTTCAAGTTTCAGAGCTAGCCTGATCAAGAAACAAAAGACAAAATGCACGTGATGAATATCAACATACGCCAAAGAGAGGGCAAACAATTGTCCTTTTGCCGAGTCCTCCCATCAGCGCACACCACTAGAGCGAATTTGTGCGTAGGACCGAATCAGCTACGGTGGCAGGACACCTCATACCCAGCACGCGATATTCTTGCTTCTTGCCTAGTTATACTGCTTAATTGAGCGCGTCGCTGACCGTTTTAGGACAGGATCCAAATTTGCTGGACCTACGATTGTTCGCATCAAAGTTTGCTTACGTTTTCTGTTCTGTTCAAGTTCATTGCATTGCGAGCAATATTCTGGCTGAAGCCAAGCTGTTGGTATAGTCATTGAGCAACGATAACTCACTCTTATTCTGTACGCACTACCTAGGCGCGGCCTCCTCCGTTAACACTATCCTTACGTTCAAGGTGAGCTATGATTCATTTATGCGAAACTCAGTTCTATGGCCGAGTGGATGCTGCTCGTTTTGTATTGATGTTTTTCTTTGTTCATCTCTTTTCGCACTCTAAGCCACATTAGATCGCTGACTTTATCGTTGACAGCCACTACTTTCCGTAAATCTACTGGCCACGATCCGTTTGTCTGGGCCACGTCTTACTTCAGTATGTGTTTCTTCTTACAATCAATATTTGTGGACTGTGGATGTCGTTCATTTTCTTCTCTTCTCGGACACTACTCCGTCCCTGTAACATCTTGTGCCCTTTAACCTCGTACGGTCACCGTCTGGCATTCAAACGCTGTTTATTGGCTTGACTATTTGACTTGTTCATACTCACCTCTCATCAACCATGTCTGATTCATTCTTGAAACGACTCACAGATTATCATTCGAACAAACTTCCAAAAAGAGTTCAATTCCAACCTTCTACTACTATCTCTCGCGACATGACCTTCTTCTCCACCCTTTCTTTGGCTGCAGCTTCGGCTTCGACGCAATACCTACACGCGCCACTTGCTCCCTCTCGCAAACGCGGCCAGGTGCTCAGTGCTAAACATGATGATATTGATGATTTCTTGTCTTCTGACCTTGAGCTGTCGTTCGCTTCTACTATGTCTCTCAACTCTCCTCCACGTAACACAATGACGCTTGCGCAAGATCGTGATGTCCCAATGGATATCTCGCCTGCGTACCGCCCCGTTCAGAAGGAGAATGAGAAGACGAACAGGCCTACCACGCGCCCCCGTGCATCCACCAGTGCCGCTCGTATTTTCGGTCAGGACATGAGCAACAGCAATTTCTCCAACGACTCCGTCAACACAAAAACTGGCTCCCAAGCGAACTCCAAACGGATCCAGCGCAGCGCGCTTCCTATGGAGTGGATGGCCCCCTCTAAGCCTTTAAGAACCTCTCAGACGATGGACGGAAATATATTTGCTCCGGTAAGTGATTCTTTTAGTTTAGACCAGCAGGCTTGTTGCTGATATGACTGCACGGGTAGCCGCTGGATGTATCTATTTCTTTAGGGTCTGATGACGCCATGGACGTGGATCCTGCTCCTGAGGTTTCTGAGCAGGACCTACTGCCTTCTCCGCCTCTTTCTGCAGCACCTGCTGTGACTGAGTTTAACAATCTGTTTTATGGGGTTATGACCCAATCTTACTTAGACACCCCTGGAGGGCCGCAGCCGAAAAAGCGTCGTTCTTTATCTCCGGAGACTATTTCACGTGTTGATAATGAAGCTTCGTCATCGCCTGCTCCTTCGTCACCTTCGCAGCACAAGTTGGATCGCATGGCCACCTTCGCTAAACCTGCGCTCCAGGGCCTTGGAGTTCCCCCTAACGCAAGCAAACGAGCCCGACGTATTGTCTTCTCAGCTTTGGTGCAACCCGGTGTTCCTTCGCCACATTCCGCACACCCCGCTCTTGATTCAGATGCTTCGCCAGAGGGGCGGTCAACACTCGAATTGCCTCCTTCACGACGCGCATTTTCTATGGTACCGTCCACTGTCCTCGACCACTTATCTGATGAGGGTTCTTCTTTTGACGACCCTGACATGTCCTCTCCTGCCCAGGCATACGCCAAGCGACAGCAGGTCAAGGCTATCCGTAGACGCGACGGAACGGAGGATTTCAGACCTTTGACTGGCGCGACTGCTATGGTCCAGCGTGATATGTTTGAGAGTCCCTCTGCGAAATTCATGGCTGCAGGATTGCCAGGATTTGGGGACAACGAGACACTGGGCAAAATCTTGCCATGTCACCGCGTGCGCGAGGATGGCTTGATGAGGATTGTACCGAACACTGTAATTGCCTTTATTTGTGACCTTGGTGACGACACTTGACATTCCATTTTCATTAGTTGGATGATCTTCTCGACGGTGCCTATAATTCTCGCATCGCGAGTTTCCACGTTATCGACTGCCGCTTCGACTATGAATACAACGGTGGACATGTTCCCGGCGCTGTCAACATCAACACCACTGCTGGCGTGGAAGAATTCTTACTTGGCGTGCAGAAGCCTAAACCATCTGTTAGTGGTGACTCTCATAAAAAGACTATCCTGGTTTTCCATTGTGAATTCAGTGCAAAGAGAGCTCCAACATTGTAAGCCAAAAATGCCTCACTATTTTCCCCTCTGACGTTAATTTTGCGATGCCCTTCAGCGCCAAACACCTCCGTGCCAAAGATCGCGCGATGAATAACCATGTGTACCCAAAGATTCACTATCCGGAGGTTTACATCTTGGAAGGCGGGTACTGCGAATATTATAAACAGTGTGCTACTCGCTGTCGTCCTCGGGGCTATGTCACGATGGATGACCCCAACTTTGCACTGTCCCGCAAAGAAGACTTAGACCAGTTTCGCAAGGGCAAATTTGGACGCACGAAGTCATACGCTTATGGTGACCTAGCTTCGAAAGTCGCTGGTATGACCCAACAGCCATCCAAGAGGAATACAGCGCCTGCTGGTGCTCCTCAGTTATTTGCTGCCGCAAACGCTGCTCGTACACGCCGTAATGGTCTTTCGACTGTGACCGAGGTCGGCAACATCACCCAGACAGACGACGAGGAGACCGACATCGGCGACAGCCCCTGCCCCCCTCCCAATAAAGGTACCATGCTACTGTCAAAGGCGAAAAGATTGGGTCGCGTCGGTATGACCCGCTCTGAAACTTTTGACGCGACTCGTATGGCTGCCTATTAATCTCAACCCGACCTCTCCGTTACTGCTCCATTTTCCTGCACGTTCAAAGCGCGTCTGCTTTTTGCATGTCCAGCAATTCCGCGATCAACTTGATCTCTTCCTAATCAGGATCAATCTTTCTCTGCTCTCACGCCTGTCAAACGCCTGGAACCCCATTGCGCCTCCTCGTTTCGTTCAAATCTTCTCTCTCCAATGGCCCAAACAGAAACAACCATTTGTGGCGCCACATTACCGCACACTGATCTCAACGCTCGCCATGCTCTGTGCTGCTCAGAATTTTCGCTGCATCTCTTATATATGTTCAACATCTCTTTCTTCTCAGTTTGATTCTTTATTTGTCTCGCATCTAAGACTGTCGATAGCTATTTATGTCTTTTGTGGTCTCGTCCGTTTCCTTTTACCTTCCCAGTATTTATCCGCTAGGATTCACCCCTTGGCATTATTCAATCGTCAAATGTTAAACATTTATTCATCCTTACCTCCCAACCTGTCAAGTACAACGTGAGTTTCGATTATGTTTTTGCTGGACATGATTATTGATGGACATTTAGCTTGTGATAGCATGTGGATAACCACGATTTTCTGTTCACTTTTTGTTCGATATCTTCCATTCGTATTTGTTGACAATATTTCTCGTTATGGACATGTTATCGCATGGCTTCACACCAGCAGATGAAGTTATTGCAGAAGTTATTAGGCCTAGAGTAAACGCTTGTGACTAAGGTTCTCTATCTAACACGCACCAGCGTCGGGGTAGTTATTCCTCAGCAAAATCATGTCGCCAAAAACACATCTGACTCAGAGGTGCTGATGAGCGTTCGAACTGCAGGGGGGGGGGCTTGTCTGTAATACTTTTCAAATGGTAAAACGTCATTCAAATTGATACTCGCAAGTGAATCCACTTGGAGATGTGCGAAATCCGAACCTCGTGAACCATAGGAGGCAATCTTGCGTAAGCAGGCTGCAGCGACACAAATGTCAGCAACTGTCCTTGAATTAGATCATCTATACGCAAGATGTTCCAACGTGATCCTCGAGCTGGCGCGTTTCTCGGTGGTGACCGCGTGTCAGGGCAAGATATACGGGATCAGAATGGTACGTGGCTCGGTGGTCGTTAGTCTTTGGCTCAAATGATGCATCGGATCAGTGACCGCGGCCTTGGCCATCGCAAACATCGTCAAAAGCTCTTTGGGTCCACTCGGGCTCGATAAAATGCTCGTTGACAACATCGGAGTGCGCATCTTTTGCTACATGTTCAAGCCTTTCTTTCTTACTTTCATTAGGAAGTGACCATCTCAAATGATGGTGCAACTATCCTGTCTCTTCTGTCTGTGGAACACCCAGCTGGAAAGATTTTCGTCGATCTCGCGCAAAAGCAGGACAAGGAAGTCGGAGATGGTACAACATCTGTGGTCATCATTGCATCTGAGCTCCTTCGACGCGCGAACGAGCTCGTAAAAGCGAAAATACACCCGACCACGATCATCACAGGCTACAGACTTGCTTGCAAAGAGGCTGTCAAGTTCATGCAGGATCAACTTAGCATAAAAATTGATTCTCTTGGTCGTGATGCACTTGTGAATGCTGCCAAGACCAGCATGTCTAGCAAGATCATCGGAAAGTATGTTGTTTAGAAACTTTTGGCAATCCGTCCCCTTAAATTCCTTTGAAGTGACGATGATCTGTTTGCCCCTATGGCTGTGGACGCTATGCTTGCTGTCAAGACCATTAACTTGCGCGGTGACATCAAATATCCGGTCAAGGCTGTCAACGTGCTCAAGGCTCACGGTAAAAGTGCTAGAGAATCCCTGTATGTTCAAGGCTATGCACTGAACTGCACGGTTGCTAGTCAAGGTCCAGATACTTTTTTCCTTGCATAAACTATCCACTGAACTAGGATCTTTAGCGATGAAAAAACGCGTAACAAATGCAAAAATTGCGTGTTTGGATATAAATCTTCAAAAAGCCCGCATGCAGCTGGGTGTGCAGATACTGGTCGAAGATCCAAATCAACTGGAGGAGATCAGGAAGCGGTTAGTTTTCAAAATAATTGTCCATTTGATCCTCGTTTGAATGTGCTTTTGCAGTGAAGCAGAAATTACGCTGGAACGAATTCGAAAAATTTTGGCATCAGGAGCCAACGTTGTTCTGACCACAAAGGGCATTGACGACTTATGTCTAAAAGAGTTTGTCGAAGCTGGCGCGATGGCAGTTAGAAGGTGCAGAAAGGAGGATCTTCGACGCATCGCAAAGGCAACAGGTGGCACGCTCATCTCAAGTCTCGCGAACTTGGAAGGTGAGGAGACATATGAGGCCAGTTACCTTGGTTCAGCGGACGAAGTTGTCCAGGAGCGCATCTCCGATGACGAATTGATTCTCATCAAGGGCACCAAGGTGGTCAACTCTGCGTCTATTGTTCTGCGTGGGGCGAATGATTACATGCTAGATGAGATGGAGAGAGCATTGCATGACACGCTTTCCATCATTAAGCGTACTTTAGAGAGCGGAGCTGTTGTTCCTGGAGGTGGTGCGGTTGAATCTGCCCTCAGCATTTACTTGGAAAACTTTGCGACAACTTTAGTGAGTCTCATACCTATCGGCATTCCTCTCGATGATCTTATGATTACACACTAGGGATCGCGAGAACAGTTGGCGATCGCCGAATTCGCTGCAGCTTTGCTTTCAATCCCAAAGCAGCTTGCTGTCAACGCTGCGAAGGATTCCACCGATCTTGTCGCCAAACTGCGTGCTTACCATCACGCCGCGCAGAACGCGCCTGCGGGTGATCCGAAAAAAGTACTACTTCGGTATGGCCTAGATCTTATGAACGGAGATGTCCGTGACAATGTTGCGGCTGGTGTGCTGGAGCCAACGATGAGTAAAGTCCGGAGTTTGAAGTCAGCGTATGAGGCTGCCATTTCACTTTTGCGGATCGATGACGCTATTCAGTGCGTACCGGGTAAGCGATTGCCACTCCGCCCAGAAGTCTGTCTCACTGATCTTAACAGAACCGAAGCCGGAAGCAGATTCACATGGCCATTAAACAGAGACAGCCTTGCGTTGACAGTCTTACGTGTAATTCATACGCCCATAATGTTTACTTACATCGAATGTGTGCAATTGTCTTTGAGAATGAATTCATGGTCAGAGATATACATGTAAACATCTACGCGATTGTCACGTGATTGTTCCACGCGCAGTTTGTTTATGGGGAACTCGCGTTGCACTGCTTGACCTTCTCATAACCGCGTTGCATCAAGCCGTCTCAAATTTCAAGCACTGCCTCCTGGGACAGACACGCTAGTCTGCGGGGGACTGGATTTAATCATATTTTTCCCTGACTTATATTCTCATGCTCTAGGCCTGTGCTAATGCCACTTGAAGATTCGAAAGCCGTTACAAGGCCTGCATTTCTCCCACAAATCAGACAGCGTTTCCAAACTCTCGTATGGACTTGTCTCGATTTTGACCTCGTCAGATCTGCAGCTTTCTATGCGGAACTCTACCTTGTCATGGACGAGAACAACCACGATGCGCGTCATCTTTATGCCACAGCACTTCTTCGATCCGGTCAGCCACATTCAGGGCTACAATTAGTCACTGGTGTTCAACAGTCGACATGTAGTGGATGCTTAGAGATCAAGGGAAAGTGTTGTGCTGCTCTCGGTCGGCACAGGCTAGCACACGAAGCTTTTGACGCTAGTCTACAGGATCCCACCTATACCCCGACGGGTGCGCATTCCATTTCATATTGCCGTACACTCTCTGACCTTCTCTGCAGCTTCTATGGGCTCTCGAACCTCGCGCGCATTCCCGGAGGAAGCTGCAACGCGATGTCGATCTGGAACGATGGCAATGAAAGGCAATCTTCCTGAGCAGGCTACTCGTAGTTTCCGACAAGCTCTCGCACTCAACCCCATGCTGTGGGAAGCATTTGAGGGCTTGTGCTCTCTCGGTGATCAACTTGGGCTTATTGTCACATCCTACAACTAACTTAGTTAACTTTCACTTTTAGGTACGGCTCCTGATGTAGACGAGATCTTTCCGGTGCGTCCCGCCCCAGTCAAACAGGGTCCGCCAGAAGAGCCCCCACCAGCCAAGGCCCTCTCTGGCCCGATTGCTACTGGAGTTGGATTTTTTACGCCTGATATCACTGCCAATACCACTCTATTTCGTGGCCGCAAGAACGTCCCTCAAGCTTTCCGAATGGATCCTCCACTAGATCCACGCGACTCCATGTAAAGCGGCCACGACCCTCTCATGATGCAATATGTCTGACATGGTCTTCTGCATTATTTCTAGCGCTACTAACGAACCATTCTTTCATACGGAGAACTCATTTCTTCACCCTCCACCCCGCAATTCTAAATTTGAGCCAGCAGGGTCCGGCCCGTCTCAGCCCGCCGCTCGACCACTATCTTCGGCGGATGAGACTGGTCCCGCGCAGAAGAGGCTTCGATCAACGATTCGACAAAAGAGCACTGAGACTGTCGCATGCAAGCCGTCCAAGCTGACTGTGGACGAAACCTCGAAAAAGGCACGCGCACGCCCGGCCCTAAAATTTGCTAATATCTTCTCATCACCGGGTCGTCGTTCTCAGCCCGTCATATCATCCAGGCCAGTTGCTAGTGGTGGAATTACCAAGAACGAGAGAGGGAGTGCTACTATTGCGCCGCGGCGAAGCACGCGGCTCTTGAGCGGCACTACTAGCAAGCCCCTCAAGGTGAGTGGGTGAATTTCGAGCCTGTTTACCTGGTTGTGTTTTGGTCTAATATCAATTACTGACTTATTTCTTGAAGCATCCACCTCCACGAGATCGCCGCCGACAGTTGACTACCTCGCGATCGCGATCCATAGACTCGGATGGTGAGGATGATGCCAATTTGCATGGCGAGGTCGCGTCCTCGACCTCGCCAACTTCGAATGCTCAGTCACCTCCCTCTGAGACATCGCCCGCGCCAAGCAATTGGACTGCGGCGCATGAACTCGCTGCTCAAGAAGCGTACGATTCGGAGATGGCAGACCAATATATCTATGATTTGCTCCGGCGATTTGCACGTGCTACTCGAGCTTTGTCCAAATATGATTGTTACTCCTGTCTCATGGAACTTGACCAGATACCGCTTGCACACCAGCAATCATCGTGGGTATTGGCGATGGTGGGCCGAGCCCACTATGAACGACTCGAGTACGCGTCAGTACGTAATTATCATTGGCACCGCTATGTACTTCTTTCCGTTTACGTTGTTTCTCTATTATAGGCAGAGCGAGCGTTCAGGGCAGCTAGAGCTCTGGAGCCTTATCGGTTGGGCGATATGGAGGTTTACTCGACTCTTCTATGGCACCTTCAGCAGAACGTGCAGCTTTCATATCTTGCACAAGAACTTATGAACGTAAACCCACGCTCTTCGCAGGCGTGGATCGCAGTTGGCAATCTTTTTTCCTTACAGAAAGAGCGGTCTCAGGCACTTACGTGTTTTCGACGAGCTGCTGAAATGGATCCGTCCTGTGCTTACGCGTACACTCTTAGCGGACATGAGTCTATTGATGAAGACCTAGACAAAGCTATCGGGTTCTTCCAGACTGCCCTCCGCGCAGATCCGCGACATTACAATGCTTGGTTAGGTTTATGTGACACGTCAAGTGGCTTCTCATGCTGATTGACTTCGCCATAGGTATGGACTTGGTACCTGCTATTTGCGGATGAGCAAAATACGCCTTGCTGAGTATCACTATCGCAAGGCAGTTGAGATTCATCCAAATAATGCAGTTTTGCTAGGTTGTGTGGGCATGGTGTGTCGCTTGTTTGATACGACTTTCCTGACTCTAATCGACCCTTTCGGCCTCTCAGGCTGTCGAGCGTCGGGGTGACAAGGTGGCTGCGCACTCATTATTTGATCAGGCAGTTCGCGTAGCGCCAGATAATGCGCTCGTTCGTTATCGTCGAGCGAAAATCCTTATCTCCATGAAAAGATACGGTGTAAGTGAACACCTGGTTACCAGCCATGATCGGGACGTTGACCTCCATTTTTTTACATAACTTTTCTCCCACACTCACAGGAAGCGCTGGAAGATCTACTTCAGCTTCGTGACTCATCTCCCGAGGAGTCAAATGTAGTGTTCCAGATTGCGAAAGTATATCGATTAATGGGTGATGAGGTAAAATCGGCGCACTGGCTCGCCATAGCACGCGATACATCACCAAAGAGTGTCAACAAACTGAAGAAACTTATTGATACCGTCAAGGACGAAGAAGGCAGGGATGACCAGATGGATGAGGGTTGAGGGGGCCGCATCTGTCGGAACGGCGTTCAAGTCGTGTAGATAGCTGGAACCTCGCGGTGCATATAACTTTTTTTTTATCGTTGGCGTGGTGGCGTTATCGCAAAGGAGGTTGTTTGGATATATTTGTGATATCGCTCGGCGGTGACCCGGGTAAATGCTTCTTTCCGAAGTGCATCATTTTGAGTCATTGTCACGGTTTCTCTATTTCAAAATTCCTATATAAGACCGTCTTCGCCCCCTGCCGTCCACACTTTTTCCTCCCCGTCCATCATCATGTTTGCACAATAAGCTCTCCGTCTTTAAACAGAGCCCCTCTCCAATTCGTCATTGCCGCGTCCCTTTAAAGAGCGTAGGCCCTCCATTCTCCTGAAGTATGGTTAACAAACTTGCCCGTAAATCCAACAACGGCACCATCTTGTTCGAACCATTCATCGTCTATCGTATACACCGGTCAAACCAGTTTCAACCCTGGTAGAACAATTTTTGACTCGGGTACGTTATATATGAGTTTGGCCAGGAAGGAATCATATACTCATATTCTGTCTTGGACGTATCAGACGCCACTCCATCATACGCCTTGAAATTCACCGCCCCTCACATGTCAGCAGCACCCATAGACCTTTCCACCATGGCCCGTTCCAAGCTACATTCAGCTATGGGAGGCAGCCTACACCGCTGGGTGCTTCTCAAAAACTCTATATTTCGACCACCTAGCGCCCCCTATGAGCCCAGTGCGGCGACCAGTGTTTCCTATTCAAAACATGTTTACATTTCAAGCGATGCCGGGGATAACGAAGACGACGACGAGGAAGAGGAGTTGGATTCATTCATGTTCCCCGACGCTTCCAAACTTGTGGGGGTCGGAGCCAGTACATCCGAAGCTGAGTGGCTCGACTCACTTCTAGAATCCCTAGTCGAAGGTGGAGATGACGCATCGGATGCCGACGTTCGCATATCCGTCCTAGCGGTTGAAGATGATGAAGATCCCCCACTTAGCCCCTTAACGTCACCAATGTCTTCGTCGGACGACCTACTCAGCCATCAAGCATACGTTGTGCCATATCCTGTACCATATCCGCCTTTCCATCCACCACTTGTTCGTCCATATGATCTTGGTCCCATCATCGAGTCTCCTATTTCATCATTTCCAGCGTATGACGCTCTACCCTACTATGATGCCGACGAGTTAGACGATCTATCTGTCCCAGAAGCCATAGAGGACACTTCAGACGACGAGTCCGATGCCCTTCTCCACGCCTTCCCTAGGGCGCTCTTCAGAACTTGACTTTGTGGATCCGACGTCCCTGCCTCTTCCAGGGCAAAGGAGGAGGCGACGGTCACAGCCTCACGTGTACATCCGGCACCCGGACTCTTATTTTGATCGTTATGCGCTCGATCCCCTTCCGTTTCCCGATGAAGACCACTCCATTTCGTATAATGCTGTCTATCATGAATGTTAGTTTCGCCTTTTTTAACCTAGAATATGGTTTTCTGCCCTATAGTAAGTAGTGTACATAACCGTCACTTTGTTCATGTATGTTAGTTTCCATTTTGGGAATATGGTTCTCGCTTCCGCCTCTTCAGGAGTGTTCATCACGGGGAATAACTTGAACCCTCCTTCTCACGACATTACGCTACCGCTGTGGGAGGAACGGCGTTTTAGCACTGATCACCTTATTGCGACCTCTACTGACTGCGGAATGGGGTGCTTCACGTGTTGGACCGAAATGTTATTGAACGCTGAAGAGAAGGTTTCTAATGCGGGAAGAGAGTGGCACTCGAGGTGAGGAACTGTATATCGACCGTGAGATTAACCTGGATTCGTTGTTATCATGATCAATCTCACCTAAACGCATCAAGTACGGAGATTCGACTTCTAACTTTGACTGGGGGTGGCTGCGGAGGGGGTCTATAAACTCACCCTCTCAAGTGATAGTGTACACGTACTTGTCGGTGTAATCGCTGAACCGGTTCGCAACGAAGATGATGCGCGCCAGTTGCTCTTCTGACCAATTAGCACCGATAATGTTTTCGTACAGCTTCAGGTCACAATGCGGCATATACAGGATTGTTGGACGTTGTACCGCATGCTTTCCGTCCTGGAATAAAACAGGCACTTATCGGACACTGTCGTACATGACAGAACAAAAGACTTGCTGTGTCTGGCAAACATCGCATCCCGAAGCTCTGGAATAATGCCTTATCTGCATCCGTAAACACTGGATCATATACGGAAACATTTGATGGACCCTTACAACACAAAGAACCAGGCGTCAGAAGAAGTACTAGTAGTAGCGCCGTGACATGGTGTGACTCACTATTTCCAAGATGGTGCATGAACTGATGAGGAAAGCCAGTTGCGCTCGGGCCTCACGGGACGATGAGGGACTCCCCAGACCAAGACACAGCACATCAGGACATGATACATTAGTCCTCCGCAGGGCGTCTTGTAAGAGACCTGATAGCAATCAACAAGACGCTCAGACGATGAAAGCATGGTCCCGACCCAGACAAGTCGTTATCCAGCCATTGGATTCGATATCCGCTTTGCAACGATCTACGAGGTCTATCAGCAAGGGCGGTTCGCGTCTGCCATTACTTCTTCGATTCTTTCGAGCACGGGCACGAGTCGTGGCTTGTGAATACGCGAAGGAGGTATCTTCCATTGCCGAACGATGTTCCTGAGGTTAGTACGTGACAGGCGGTGTGAAAGGTAGAACAAACGGATGTGTGATGTGACTCAGAAGAGCTACCCCACCGGCTTGCACAGTGGCGACAGTCCGGGGCTCGCTAGCATTGATTCTGTCAATTGTATGTAAAAAAGACTCGTCGTCGCCGTACCGGCTTGTACGGAACCCGGAAATCGCTAGTATTGACCACAAGTGTGCTAGCAACTGTTAAGATACCGCATAGTCACTTGTAGATAAGGTTGCATATTATAATGGAAGCACCCAAAAAGGCGCTCGGAGACTACAGAGTTTGCAAGGCCCATAAGTCATCTCCAAGATGTGTGACAATCTCGACAGCTACATCTTTGTTCAGTTTCCGCATGTCCTCCGTGCCAAGCGTGGTGATTCCGATTCCAACAGCGTGCTCTTTTCCTTCAGCATGTACAGCAACAGCGGTACCTTTTGGTAATGCTTCCTCAGGCGGGGGAAGGTAACCTCCAGCTGAAGTTAATCCGGGACACATCATGGGAGCACCTGCCAGCAGAAAGCGAATTGCGCCCCTGTCAACGCCAACTTTAGGTAGAATGAACGGATCTGTAAATGGTGCATTTCATATGTTTTGACACCATCAGACCCGAGGAGTCGCTTACACTGGTGAAGTAATCGAAGGGTGGGGTAAAACGGCCCATCAAAATGCTGGAAAAAGAGGGGTACGTTTTGCACGGAGTATATTGAGATGTGTTCTCTGCTTCTTGTCATGCAGACCAAGTATGTCAGATAGTCTGACAGACTCATCAGAACATGGAAAGACGTACCATTTTACGTGGATCAATGTCTCCTTCTTGGGCCAGATCTCTTCGAGTGTTTCTAGTCCGATCTTCCACTGTTGAAGCACAGCAGCCCTTATCGATCGTTGTACAGAGGACTTGGGTGGCGTTTGGCCTGCGATATCTGTGGAAGGCGTAAATCTAGGATGTAATCGTGAGCGACGAGCTGCTGTGCAAATACAATTCTAGCGTATACTTTTTGAACATCGTGATGGTGATGAATAAAGGTTGGAACTTCCTCCACTGACACGGCGCACACTACCAAACAGTAATGTACCATTGCAGTCTTAGTAACAAACTATACTCTGGCACTGTTCCTCATTTTCAACAACGCTCTACTTCAATGTTCTGGAGGTAGGTTCTTTCCCTTCATATCGTGAGTTTCAAATAGAGTGTGATCTTTTTTCTTCAGTAAATTCCAACCCTTCCTCGATCGATGATATACCAGTGGACATTGAACGACGCAGGCAATTCTAGACCAAGATGTTCTACTATCAATTCGCAGAAAACGCGATTCGTCGACTACTTTCAGCGTGTAGACGTCTTGAGGGATATATGACTGGTCAGATTGAAGACGAAGAGAACAAGGATGACTCAAGTAAGCCTTATCTCTGGTTTCTGCCGCACGTGTCTCTTCACTGATCCCCATATGTCGCTACAGAAGTTCTCTGCAGTGAAATACGGCTGATAGTCGAAACCTGCGTCAGTTCATCGAACCAGCTGCTGACACCGTCCTGGGAAACGGTCCTTGACGGATCAAGGTGAAGACAGAGATGGTCATGGCTTCTTAGATCAATGCCGTCTTCCTCACCAAGAAACCGGTAGAGGTGCCTATCCTTTCGCCCCCATCCTCTGAAGAACCCAGAGTTGTGCTCAAATGCTCATCCCATCCCAACCATCGGTCATGAGGTGCCTTTTGCGACACGTCGAGACTCGAGACGCCATCTACAGGCCCGTTACCTTCTTGTCCTCATCATTCAGCTGGATGAAACTTCAGGTAATGCAGGCGTCATCACCAACTCGAATGTTGTTATGTTACCGATCCGTCCCAGTAAGCGGTTTCATTTTCCGTGTCACAGAGTGGAGCTCAGACACGGATAAGCGCGAAGCCAGCAGACTGCGAACGACAGCAGCGATGGAGTGCAGGTGGAGAGTCACGCGATTTGCTTCCGTGGGTTTCGTCCTAACACATGTTAGATAAGTTAGATATACTACTTTCTTGTATTGCCTGGCCTACACACTAATACATTAGATACCGAGAACACAAGAAATCTTCGATAGCAGAATGAGTTGCTATGATAAAAGGTGATAAAATGAGATTCGTCCACTTTCTGAGGAAAGGCAAGTGAGACGTAGAGTGCATGCAGGGTGAGATGGGGCGCGACTTGTGCGAGAAACTACGGTACATGGCAGAAGGACTGGGACCTTTCATGATATATCCTCGTCTTTGTCCTCGAGCTGCGAAGGTTTGAGCATGCCAGGGATACGCATCGCCATCTCTCGTTCTGCTTGGGCCTTCATCTGTGCTTCTGCTTCCTTTTCTTCTAAAAACAGCTCGGCATTATCGCCAGAGGAGAACTCCTTAAGCTGGATGAGGAAGTCACGTAGAGCGAGCTTAAAGCGGTTGATATCGCCGTGGAACTCGCCAAGACCCGAGACGAAGACTTGAACTTGCGAGCTGCAGAAATCATTCAGAGATGCCAGCAGGAAAGTGAAAAAGGGGACGCACTTCTGCACATGAGGGAATGCTGTCTTCAATAGATTGGCACAATATTCTTTAAGGAACACGGAATTTGAAACGGTAGGATCTGCCATCTGCGCAGGATCAAATAGGGGTGCTTGGATCTGGTTCGTCTCAACTAGCTGGAACATGCGAGCTAGTAGAAGACTTTGAAGCTTGAAACCACTTTTGTGGTCTGTGTCCGTGAGTACAAAGAATATATCTTGCACAATACTCAAGAAGTACTGTTGGAAAAACGCATTGCTGACGGCAGTCTCTGCGCCAGCAAAATTGTTGACCACCTCAAGGCACACTAAAAGAAACCGTAAGTGCGCCCTCTCCATGTACGTGAAGTATGTACTCACAGTTGAGTCCGGTGTCAGCAATATCACGCATCGTGTGCTTAATTGCCCAGATGATACTATCCATGAATAGCTTGAACTGTTGCGGTGGAATGCCAAGCAGAGCTGTAAAGTGTTTAGTGCGAGGAGACGATTCTAAAATCAAGAAACACATACCAGGGAAACAATTAAGGTTGATTGCTCGGAGGAGCTTGAAGAACCCAACGCGATGTTCTGGGAACTCAGAAAAGTCTTGGTTGATCATGGTCAATGTAGGCTCGAAGACTGCATCAAGAATGGCAGGAACTTGAGGAGTCAACAAAGGCTGTGATTGTAGGATGGGGTGAGCGAGCAAGCACGGTATTGGCCACCCTATGCACTTACCCCGAGACGACTTGTGATGGTAGCCATCACGTTCAGCACCTCAGCATCTCGTGCAGTCGGTACATTGCGGTTGTAGTCACCAAGAATTGCATCCAGTAGTGGAGGCATGAAGTTCGTATTCACGGCTTCGAGATCCTCAGCCTTCTTGATATACGTCTCCATGAGTTTCAAGATCTCCTTCTTAACGGTGCGCAACTGTCCGTATCTTTGGCGTCTTAGGTGGCAATGGTGCCTAATGATTGGGGATTAGCTACGGTACAGGAAGGAATTGGGAAGGCTGAACCACGAACCTTCCCGAGCTACCGTCTCGCTGATAATGCCACTGACTGCCTTGTACAGACCCAACATGTCCAAAAAGACCCGCCCCACCTGAGGCAGGTAGAAGCTGCCAATAGATGTGCAAGCAGACACGTTCGTCTTGAGAACATTAGATAGAATTTTGATATTATCAAGGTTGCTTAGGACATCCATATTCTGCGCCGCTTGAGCCATCAATGAATCCCACTTAATGAAATTGTGAGCAAGGGACTTCTCTCGCTGATGAAAAAGGTACACACAGCGTTATTCGGTAGTTCCATCAGCTTAGCAATGAGTTTCTCCTGCTGAGGTTTGTTGGGCTGCGCGGAAATCATGTAACCGACGGCCTCGTAGAAGGTATGTACCTATTTGGAAAATAAGAAGGCATACCCAAATAAGATCACGCAACACACCTGTTGAGGCGACAGGTCGACAGTGATGCGATGAAGTAGCCGCAATATTTCGTCTACGAATGGCTCCTGTTCTCCCGATTGTTGCATGACAAAATGTCTCCTACACTTCTGAGCAATCTTGATGAACGTGTCGCATGCCATGTCTTGCACACCTGGAGGTGTCATATAGACATGTTCAGAGTGACGAGAGTATTTCATCAATAGGCTCCTTACCTTCATGGGTCTCGTGCATGAACTCGAACAACTTATTGACGACTGTCTTCAGGAATTTCCAATGTGCCTTCAAAAAGCGCGGATACTGGCCGACGATGTACATGATATCTGAGGCGACGACAGCTTTGTTGTCTTTGCCTCGTTTGATTTCGCACAATCCTAATAGATCCTTGATGACGGTGACAAGGAAGCGTTTTTCGGTTTCCTCATCTGTAGATTGCGAGAGGGGTTTAGAACAGATCAGACGGCTACAAAAATAACACTTACTCATTGCTCCTGATATGCTTCCAATGGCCCAGCAAAGCGTGTTCAAGTTCTGCCAACTCCATTCCGAACCATCGACTTGCTTTGCAAGTTTTTCGGTCAGTATATTTTCGGTGTCCACAACATCAAGATGCGTAAGATAGACCAGCAACTCCCGCATCTGCTTATAGAGGACAATCGTATCCGATTCCTTCATGAATTCACGAACGATTTCACCCTCGTCATTTTCGACAATTAGTACCTGGAACCATCGTTATATCGAACAGACAAGAAAGGAAAATTGAACCGCACCTCCTCTGGCTTCACCATTCGCTCGATGACAACAAGTCTCAAGTTACTCAAGACGTCGCTGTAGATGTTCTTTCTCAAAGACATGCCGTTGAGCATGTTTCCGCTGCTGCTCCCGAGGCTCAAGCCCATGAGTAATCCGCTCTCACCAATAGGAAGAGCTTGGATCTCATCGTAGAGTTCTGCCACGAGTTTCGACCAGTATTCAAGAGTGATCTTGAAAATCTCGCGCTCGTCAACTTGGGAGATCTTTACCATGTAAAGATGTGCATTTAACAGAACATCACGGTTCGCCTCGGTCTCGACAGCGCGTAGATGGGTGGACAAGAAGTTGGAGAGGAAGAGGGCGAGGTTAAGAACGAGCTCCTGACCGGCGTCTGATGCTGAAGAATATGCCGCAGCAATGTTGGTAGAAGGAGGAATCATGCGGTTGACGGAGGTCATGACCATGGCAAACAATATGACAAATTTTGGATCATATTCTGGGCCCACGTTCAATCCAGCAATCTCTGCTAGACATTTGAGCGTCACATTCCTAAAATCAGGGGCTTCTAGGAACTGCAGAACAGTTAACTTAGTTTGAGGCGAAGTGATGACAATCTTACGCGATTCAAAAGTGTGTCGATTATCATGGTCTCAAAAATATATCCCAGAGGTATCCAATTCAAGAAACGCAGTAATGTTTCGAGAGTTGCCTTGATTAAACTTGTCTTCTGGGCTTCCTCCAAAACTTCGGAACAGAGTTTGAAGATCTCGCTGAATTCGCCGCACATTTGATTCTTCAGATTCTTGATCTTGGTTTGCGTCATCTGCTCAGCGGAGAAATCGAAGACTTCTTCTGAAAGCAACCGCAATATGACCATATTGTTCTCGCACAAGGAAAGGTTGGTTTTTGAGGACTCCACGAGTTCAGTGATGAAAGTTGGCCAGTTATGCGGCCACTCCTGTTTCAGAATCTGAAAGGTTTGATCCATAAAGATCATCTATACTCATGTATGCGTATCACTCACTTGAACGAGGGCGAGGTTCAGTTTGTTGATGTACGTCTTCTCTTTCCGCATGGTGGTCTCGTCAGATGCCACCTTGACGGTGACTCCAACAACGAAATTACGGATTCCTACACGCGACGTTAGCCACGTCAGTTATATCAACGAACAACCTGCCTAATCTCTGTCCATCTGGTAATGTTTTCCATCGCGTCACAATGAGCTTTTCTAGAATCTGCAAGCCGATGTACTGCGAATACGGAATCAGCTATTATAAACACGCCTTTCGTAAAGGACAGTACCTTTGACTGCGGGAATGAGGATCTCTCCAAAACGTCAGGAACCCTTGTCCATGCATCAGGATGTTCTTCAAACTGCGTTAACACGTGTTGAGCCATTTGTTGCTGGTCAAATGAATGTGAGTTCATCGCAAATGGCGAACGGTAGCTCCGCCACTCACTTCCTGGCCAGAGCCGGTGTAAAATGCCATGACGACTTTATCCAGCAGGGAAACATCGAACTCCCTCGAGAAATCGAGCAAGCCCTAGATACTAACTTGAACAAGAATCAACGACGATGAAGCGCGAAGAGCTTACCTCCATGGTTGCAAGAATGCACTGCACCTAAGCTGCTGCGATATTACGGTCGATGATTCCAGGTTCCGCCTCCGTTGAAGCGAAGATGAAGGAAGATTACGAACAGCAAGGAAGGGATGTTGGGCAATGGGCACAGGGTCCTCCCCCCACATCTAATCTGCTGACATAATATCGCTTCATAATCAGCTCTGTGGCTAGCCTCATAATTAATGTAAACATTTATTAGTATGGACGCGTGTTGGACGCGTTTACAGACCTGCCAAGGCTGCAGAGATGGCTAATGTTGCAAGTCGATATACATTTCAATTATAATATCATGGCGAGTTCGTCAGAACCAGATGCCATCACTTTCGGTCTGGTGATTAACTTCTTCGGTGCCTCTCAACGATCCCGATTCGATATCAGGTAGAATCATTTGCACGAGGTAACGAAATGTATCTACGGCAGACCAGTACTTGAATGACGTTGTCACAGGCTGCCATCTATTTTGACTACAACTTTGCCAGTAGCTCGTGATGTCATGATGCGCTCGTACGCAGCGAGAACGTCCTCGAATCCATACACGGAGTCTACTATCAGTTTGAGTTTGCCTTGAAATGCGGTAAACCCGAGCACCAAACACACGAAAGATCCAGTACGATACCTTCCGCCATTAAATCGCGCAGCTTTGCAAGATCCTGTGGCTTGTGAGTTACGCTCACCATGCTGTAAACCGTATGTCAGCGGCGCGCAATGATTTGGTAGCAGAATGCACTGACGTCCACTTTGCATTAACACCACCCAGGAACGATGGCCTCAGAATTTCGCAGGTCAAAGAAAGAAACTTTGAGATGCCAGCAGATCCGCCCCACGATTTTAGGTCTGGCCAAGGTCCAGTTGAGATGAATATACCTCCTGGTTTCATGTAGGCATTCGAGTGCTTGTAAAGAGCGGGGTCAACCAAAGCAACGGCATCAAAGATGATGTCAAATTTGGGTGAGGGCGGATTTTCCACCAAGTGCTCATGAAGAGGTTTGTTCGTATAATCGAGAAACTGGCGGGGTGTTAGGAAAGAAATAACTACAGGGGAAAGCGCATACTTCATCTGCCCCCGCGTTACGACAAAATTCCTCGTTTCTTGACGAAGCACTGGTGACAACCTTTGCACCAAGAGCCTTCGCAATATGAATGGCATTCATGCCAACCGCTGAACTGCCGCCATTGACGAACACACACTGGCCAGCTTGAAGCATTCCAATGCCGATTAGGGCCTGAAAGGCAGTCTCCCCAGCTAGGGGAAGACCACAAGCCTCGATCGCAGAGACATTGGACGGTTTCAGGACTAGATGAGTAGCAGGAAGCTTTGCATACTCTGTCAGCGCCCCCTGCCCCGTCTTCAATTGCAGTGCTATCCGACAACCTGGGTCAATGTGATATGTGCACGAGAATACTCATACTCACGAACAGGGATAAACCCGATAACCTCGTCTCCTGCGGAGAATTCAGTGCTGTTTGCATCCACAACCACACCGGCGAAATCATGTTCTGGTGTTATTGGTCTCCTGGCAAGGATGTCGGGCGCAACCGACATGAGCTTCCATCCTCTAATGAAATTCAAAGATATAATGAGTTCAATAAATGTCCTGTGAGGACACCTACACCGGATTAAGTGCTGCCGCCTGGACCTTCACAAGCACTTCCCCACGTGAAAGGGGAGGAACAGGCACGTCCGTCTGGAAAACAAGAGATTCGTAAGGTTTGCCTCGCTTCACAGATCTCCAAGCCCGCTGTGTCTCCGGCAAGTTTGGAACTGGATCAGTGCTCATTGCGTGGCAAACTCGAACTTGAAGAATGTATGGCCAACCAGGCCTGGCCGCCCAGTGAGATTTTTCACAGAAGTGACGTCGACAACTAATAATTGGATTACAAACTCCGCGACAGTCTAGATAGATCTTAACATCGTTTCGCAAGATTCGCTCGCTCGTCCGTTCGTCCTTCTGTGACTTCCACCTACTAAAACCAATAGCAAGAGTTCTATTGAATCATTTGACCGAATCATTCCAGGTAAGTAAAAAATGCTGAGGCACGTAAGATGCGTTGATTGCGCACTAGTAGACACTAGGCATCGAAGCCCCTATTCAATCGCACCAGCACTGAAAATGACCGACTCTCATAGCGATTCCTCCGTCGAAATCATAAGCAGCATTTCTTGTTGTGCTACAGAAGCTTCTGAAGATGTAGTTGTCTGGGGCGTCAGCGACGAATACTCATCGGAGAGTAGCGTTACTGACAGCGACACGGACTATGTCCTGTTACCCCGTGCCTCAGCGGAGGGTTCGTTCAACAGTGATTCCGGCGACAGCACCCCAGAGGATATGCTGTCCATTCCATTCAATCTATTATCAGTCAACAAAGTGCAGTATGAGTCGGATACGAACCAAGCCCACAAACCAAACCAAAATGTAGAGCAGATCTTGAATCCAGAAACGCATGAGGCAAGAACCCCCAATGGTTCATATGAAGATGCTGCGGCGTACATTACGCAGTGCGTATTTGCTGATACTCATTGAAATAAGTTATCTTCATTGCGGGCAGGTACCTGGATGCCCCTGTGAAGGAGAATAATCCCGGTGTGAAGCTCCTGCTTCTGCAGGCTCTTGTTGTCGAATTCGGTATTTCCAAACAGCCGCCCGCCAGCATATCATCAGCAACAAAACTTCTGAAGGCCTCGCTACATGTCAATATCAACGATTATGTAGCGAAGCGGGGAAAAGATCAAGGCGAGCTGCAACAGATCATGCAACCCAGCAAGAAAGCCCTACGTAAGGATCTTCGGCGAAGTAGCCGTAGGAGCTCCCTGAAGTGGGTGAAGGAACATGGACTAAACGTCCTTCTAATCGGCTTCTCTCACTAATTTGCGGAGAAGTACTTTTTCTTTCATCCATGCATGGTATAGCCTAGACTCGTAGTCTACAACGGTAAATGGCATCATTCACTTGTTCCCAATGTGCTCCATAATTTGAGTTCAACTCGAAGAAAAACAACATGATTTTTACAATATCTATGACCGCGAGAACATATGACTAGCAAGTTCGGAGTCAGCATATTTATGCAACGGAATGTTCAGGGGAAAGGGTATAAACAGCACTGCAACAAATCTACGAGCTCAACGTGCAGAAGAGCTGTGTGAAATGTGAAGAAGTAACCGAGTAAAATATTGTAATAAAGATAGACACTGCGTCCTGTGTCCAAATGAAATGTTCCAGTGCACGACCTTAAATACCGCTCTCTTCGGCTACTAGCATGATTCCGATCTCAATCAAGGCTTGGTTCAAGGCCAGAAGATTTTGAGGGTTGGCGCTGTCTGGCGCAGCCACAGCAGACCCTGTGGGGACGGCAATCCCACTGCCCACACCTGAGTTGTAATTGACCGAAGCAGACGAAGAGAGAGTGGTGGTGGGGATCGAGGGGGTGGGAGTGGTGGCGGGAGTAGGAGTGGTAGGAGTAGGAGTCGGAGTAGGAGTGGTAGGAGTCGGAGTGCTGGAAGTATATGAAGATGTAGTAGGTGTCCATGTTGGCGTCAAAGACGAAGTCGTAGGATCAGGAGTCCATGTCGTCGCTGGAGTCGAGGTGGTAGGCTCAGGAGTCCAGATTGAGCTGCTAGTTGACGTGGTAGTAGTTCCGTCATTGAACCACCATGACCCGTAGATCACACCTTCCGACGCATCCGCAAAGTAGTCGAAAAGACCGGTAGAGAAGTCAAGTCCACCATAAGGGCAGCCCATACACTAGCCGTCTGTGGGTAAGGTCACAGTATGGAATAGCGTAGTGGAGTACAGACCTCATCCATGATAACAGCCTGGGCTGTTTTTCCACCATAAGAAATCGTGATTGACATGAAGCACATTGGACCAGGATATCCACTGCCGTATTGATCGACATTTAGCGCCACGATCTAGAAATGACACATAACATGAGAAGACGTCATCCAGATATCTTATCGATACTGACAAAGTCAGTGGGAACACTGGTGTCTCCGCAAGCACCCCTTTGAAAAAGAAGTGATGAGCAATATTCAAATAAGGCACCCGTGGATGGAACTTACAAGCCGACATCATAGAAGGTGAACCGAGAGTTATCGAAGGAACGCTTAAGGACATCCACATCACCACGGGCACGGATGGCAACTTCTTGGTGACGTCTGCCCCAGTGGTTACCATGAATGTTGGCGAAACTGAAAGGAATGATTGTAGAGAGAAAACCGAGAATGGTAGTGACCCGCATTGTGCGATTTGTAAGGCAGGAATGGCACAAGTTTCCGGTGCAGGTGATCTGTGTCAAATTTGAAGTTGAAGGAGCGTATACACAAGAGAATGACTAGCTCGTAAGATTACAGCTTTGTTACTTGGAAGCTTAGGGAAGGGAGTGGTCTATGTTACGATGGAAAATAGTCAAATCTCTTCATACCAACCACTATCAGACTAGGACCCCGGGAACATCCGCAGTTACTACCAAACCGCGTCGCAAATATCCGAAACTGATGAGGAGGTTATTGTTGAAACGAATTTGCAAGGAATCTTGCTATTTTTCAATAATATAACCACATGCCATACCATTGCCGTACCCGTTGCAACCACATTTCTATGGTGATTTGACTCTATCATTTACATAAACCCTTTTCAAGGGCCATCCATTTCACCCTAAGCTTAAACCTTAAAATGCCCGACAAGGTATTGAAATCGAAACAAGGAATTTCCGACATTGTAATAACAGTATCATTGACAAGTAAAACCGCCCCCGAAAACTTTGAATAGGCAATGGGATGTACGATATTATGTGGGTATAGCAGCTACTGGCTGAAGAATAAGTCCTTTGAATCTTAACGAGCTAGAGAAACGTCCACAAAGTAGATATAGCAATGCCATACTTTTGTAAGTAATTCGCAGCAGAATGCGAAATTGAAACAGCTAATATTACGTCTGAGCGTCATTAAGGAGTCCGCCAAGGTACACCATTGCCAGGTTGAGGTTCATGAGAGCGGAAGAGTCTCCGACAGACGCAGGAACAGACCCAGCGGTCTCCGCTACAGAATCGGCACTTGTTGTGCTCGAGGCACTGCTCGATGACGAAGGCGACGACGAAATAGAAGTGTTTGAGGTTGAGGAGCTGATTGAACTCGAAGTTATTGAAGATGAGGACGGTGTAGGGCTGGGACTCGAGGTTGTCGAAGGTGGAGGAGGTGGGGTTGAGGTTGGCGTTGGTTGGGGTCGCGAAGTAGTGGTTGGGGCTGGGGGCGGTTGATAGGTGGATGTACTAGGTGACGGTGCCGGAGCAGAGGCACTATTGAAGGACCATGTACCAGTGAGCACACCGGCACCAAGTGAACCGAAAACCTGGAAAAGGCCTTCCGAAAAATCAAGGCCACCGTAGGGGCATCCCATACACTATTTTGGGTGTCAGACTAATCCAACTAGTATCACGATGCATGATGTCTTTACCTCGTCAACAACCTGAGCCTGCGATGACACTCCGTTGCAAGTAATCGTGATCATTTGAAAACATGATCCACTGAATTGCTAGAAAATCTCATTGAATTGCACAAAAATATCGAAATTTGAAATTGTTACCTGTGTATTCATTGCGACTACCTAAATAATCAGAGTTAGCCTCAGGTAATTAATTTGAAATGATCGCATACCATGTCGCTGGCTTGGTTTACTTGACCGCAAGCACCCAGACCGACCGCATAAAATGTGAAACGGGAATTGGGGAAATCACGTTTGTACATATCAACATCTCCTGGCTCCCGAACAGCGAGGGCCGAATTCAGACGCTTTCCATCATGATGGCGTCGGTGGAATTGGTGGGCACTGCTGGCCGACACCGAGCACCACGATAGCACGAACGACAGTAACACTGACAAGTGAGCAAAGAAGCGCATGCAGTCAGCCTAGAAAACAAGTAGAGAGCGTGAGGGTCGACGGGAAGGAAATCCCAAAAAAGAGTGACTGGTCGTTGTTGTGAAAAATTTGAACACAGAAGGTGATAGTCAGAAAGTGAACGTGAGCCGACGGTTGAGATACAACATATTATATGGAGACTCTTGTGACTATCACAATATCACTTACGGCTTCTAGACGCCCAGGCTTATACCCGATTGGCCCTCAAATTAGAAGGAGGGTGCTGCAGTGCCTGATGCTGCCCATGGTTGCAACCAAGCCGCTGACAGCTCTGGCATGTGTATTTTATCATGATATTCATGGGTGACATGTCAATTGCCTGACTGTGTTGCAATTCGGGACTCAGTACTTGTCAGCACTGGTAGTGATAGTACGACCATCTCAAGATAATGACAACTTCTAGGGTTCTAGCCGTTTCCGTTATTACAACGCTGATACATTCGTAATCCAAAATATGATCCCATCATTTCAGCTCCACTTGGGTGGGTGGGTCAATAAACGTCGTCTATGAACAAATGAGCTTGGCACAGGAAAGAATATGGCAGACTGTTAATACTCACCGTCACAAATTTTAGAACCTCGTCGATGGCAAGGACAGGCAAGCTGAGATACAAAACCATTTGCCATTCAGCCCAGTTCAGCGGTGTTATTTGAAACAACGCCTAAGAACAAACGTTTTCAACTTTCCAAATTTAGTGAAATTGATGCGGGAAGACTGACCGTGAAGAATGGAATATACAAGATAGCAAAATGAAGTGCCATGCTAAGAGTTATTGCTCCCACAAGGAACGGGTTCTTCCACACGGGTAAACATAGCAGACTCTCATTTTCAGATAACGAGTTCATTGCGTTGAACATCTCTACCGTTACCAGAATCGACAGACTCATGGTTGTCGCCCGATGCGCCATAACGTTCGTGAACATCTCGCAGCCAATTTCTGGAAAGAGTGTAGAGCATTGGTGGAAATGCGTCTGCCGCACTCATCAATATGGAACGGATGATTGAGTTAGAGGAATACACACGAGTTGATGGAATGTGATCTGTGGCCCTTCTGAGTAGAAGATGAACCACCACGCATATCCGAACACGGTAGCACATCCGACGTAAGTGCCAACGACCATGTAACGGAAGAACAGCCATTTTCCAACAAGAGGCTCTCGACTGTTTCTTGGAGGGACCCGCATGATAGAATGATCAGGTGGGTTGAACCCAAGGGCGGTGGCAGGCAAACTGTCCGTAACAAGGTTGACCCACAAGAGTTGTACTGGGATAAGGGCTTCTGGCATGCCGAGCAGAACAGTCAAAAATATGCTATGGTCAACTGTCAGGACCACTCGGAATGATAACAGTATACAGTCCTACCTAACGACTTCGCCGATATTTGACGAGACTAGGAAGGGTCAGCAAGAACGACTAAGATAAAGTGAATCGCGCGTACTCAGGTATCGGATAAACTGCTTAGTGTTGTTGTATATGAGTCTACCTTCTTCTACCGCAAGCTCTATAGTTGCAAAGTTGGAATCCGCGAGCACCATATCGGCAGCTAGTTTGGCAACATCAGTACCACTTCCCATGGCGACTCCGATATCTGCCTTTTTCAGTGCTGGAGCATCGTTTACACCATCGCCAGTCTAGAAAGAGAGGTGTGAGTTAGGCAGAGATGGCAAGTACGCCGACGGACCATCGCTACAACAAGCCCGAGACCTTGCAGGATATCAACAAGTTGGCTCTTGTGCGCTGGTTCTGTTCGAGTAAAGAGACTAGCACGTTGTACAGCCTTGATCTTCTCTTCAGCACTGAGATCATCTAGTTCCCGGCCAGTATAGCTCTTCCCTGTCAAGTCTTCATTCTCCCCGAAGATCCCAATCTGCCTGCAGATCGTTTCTGCAGTACCCTTATTATCGCCAGTGATGCAGATAACACGAATACCAGCGGCTTTACAGTTCGCAACAGCGAGACGGACCTCCGGTCTTGGAGGATCGAGCATTCCAACAAGAGAAACGAACACCAGATTCTGTTCAAAGCGAGTATAATCGCTAGTGTTTTGACTTTGATAGTGAGCGGGATCAACGTCTTGAACGTCTACGTAGGCGAAGGCCAGAGTGCGAAGACCAATGGACCCGTAAGAAACCGTTTGGGCGAGGAGTATTTTACGTAGCTCTGCAGTTAATGGAATGACCTTGCCATGCACCATAACTGAAGTACACCGCTCCAAAACAGACTCGGGGGCTCCTTTGACAAAGAGGGCACCCTTTCCATTCAACCGTACAAGGACAGACATCATCTTGCGGTCACGTGAAAACTCCATGGTGAGTAGCTTCGGGATGGAGCGCTCATAGTACTCATTCACTACACTCGCCCGCACAGACGGCGAAAGCGTGGGAAGGGACTGGGATACTTCTTTGCTCGGACAACCAATCTTCTCTACGAGAACTTTCAAGGCAGCTTCAGTCGGCTCCCCCACATTACTGTATGAGGCCTTGTCCTAGGAACACCAATGAGGATGAAGAACACTGCATGGTAGTGTGGTAGAGCTCACAGAATTGTAGACGATCTTCGCATCATTACAGATGGCGCTAATCTCCGCGAGACGTCTGAGAGGATCAGACTGCAGATCCACGTCCTTTCCTTTGGTAGAGGTGATCGCGCCTTGTGGGGAATAAGTTGTACCTTCAACATGATAGTCTTCTGGAAGGCCGCTTTGTGCATTGATGACAAGGAACTTGAGTAGCAAGATTGGGTGAGATGCATCTCATACGGTAGTAAATCGTATGTCACCTTTGAAACACTCATCTGGTTAGTAGTGAGAGTGCCCGTCTTGTCCGAGCAAATGACGTTGGTACATCCGAGGGTCTCCACGCTTGGTAAATTCCTGACAATCGCGTTCTTCTGCGCCATCTTCTTTGTTCCTAGAGCAAGGCATGCTGTAATGACGGCAGCAAGGCCTTCTGGGATCGCAGCCACCGCAAGAGCCACGGCAATTTTGAAGTAATAGATAGCACCCTTCATTACGCCATGGTGTGCAGGGTCCCAGAAGTGCCGGAAATTGACCAACCATACCAGGATACATATTACGGAGATCACTTTGGCCAGCATGTCGCCGAAATCGTCGAGTTTGCGTTTGAGTGGAGTCTTTTCACTGATTTGCTGCGAGATTGAATGATGAATGTGGCCGATAGCGGTCTTCATACCAATGAAAGTGACGATGGCTCGCGCACTCCCATTGACTACTGTGGTGCCCTAGATAATTATGAATATCTTGTCGAACGTCGAGAAGGTGAGAGCGCTTACAGAGAACAGCATGTTTGTCATGTCCTGTTTCACGGCGCCTGTGTCAGAGACAACGTCGACCGACTTGTTCACGCTAACGCTCTCGCCAGTGAGGATGGCCTGGTCTACCCTGAAGCTACTGGAGGATATGGACAAGATTCTGCAATCCGCTGGAATTTTGTCGCCAACTGAGACTGAAACGATGTCACCTGGAACGAGTTCAGAAGCGTGAATATGGGCTAATTGGCCGGACCTGAGGACTTTGGCCTCATCTGGGGAATATTCCTTCAAGGCCTGCACGAACACAGTTGAACATCAGTGCACCACGAAGCTATACAATAACGCTCACGTCTATGGCTTGCTCTGCGTTTGTTTCTTGAACCACTCCAACAGTTGCATTCGCAATAAGAATGAGCAATATGACAATGGGTTCGACAAATGCTCCAAATAAAGTAGTATCCTCAGAGTCATCTAGCAATGCCAAAATGAAGGATATAACTGCTGACGCAAGCAGGATCATCACCAGCTGATCCTTGAACTGTTCTAGGATAAGCTCCCATAGTGGAGTCGGAGGTTCTTCTGGAAGTTCTGCACAGAATGTTAACTGCCAAAACCAAATACGTGGACAACGCCGACTGACCATTTTTTCCATACACTTCAGCATGCTTTGCGGCGTGAGCTGCAGTGAGTCCGCGAGAACTGTCGACGCCAAAGTGCTCTAGGACTTGTTCCGGGGTATTAGCCCAAGGATGGTCCATGATCGTAATGAAGAGAAAGAATACAGACGCTTGACTCGGCACCTCTCAGCAGCACTGGTATTTGCATTACCATGTCGCTTGTGAAATTTGCTGACGTGTCCGATTTGTTTGCGCAAGTTGTCGTCCACGAGGGCGGCCCGTCTGAAAATCTGACGGTTGAACCTGATGATTGCACGGACGTTGCGCGCTCGAAACCAAAGTTTAACGCGGGCGGTATCATAGGAAACAAGTATCAAAGTTAGACTATGCAGTATAAGATGTAATACGTCAAATTACGCGGTATACATGTGATACGTACAGACAAGCACGCCATCAGGCGCAAAACTCCAAATTCATATTACTTGTGCATCAGCTTCTAACCTTGGTCCTTGATCCTAGCATGAAAAGCCCAATAGCCTACAAATACAACCTGGCAAGATAACGATTTCTTTCAAATTCGGGCCTTCAACTTGCCACCAAACACAAACACATGTAAATACACTATGGTGACCTAATTGTCCAGTGAACAGCAAAGGAAGCCGCGCATACGACGGTCTCGCCGCCCCAATTTCGTTGGTTGCTTTGAACTTACCAACACGTTATCGTCTTTGCAATTGAAGCCATGGGCAACACCAGCTCGTCGTCCTCACGCGGTCACCACGACGACACCGTTGACTACGGTTATCTCGCTCCTCAGGGCGTCTACACTGGTCCCAAAGATTGGAATCATGGGATTGTCACCCAGCTCATCGTAGATCGCAGGCTTGCTCCTTTCTATCGACCTCTAGAAGATTATAATGAAAACTGGGACGATGAGCAGATCATGTCAGCTAGGAGAGTCATTCCAGATACTGACAGTACCAACTCCGACACCCCTCCTACAAGGGTTGACTCCCGAGATTCCACAAAGCCAACTCATCAATCTAAACGGCCTGGTGCATTGAAGGAGTCTTGCCGTTATCCAGAAGCTGCCATTTACAGAGGTGCTGTAGAATGCCCAATATGTTTCCTTGTGCGTTATCTCTCACGTGCGCCATGCAACCACTGAGTAACTTGTGCCTCAGTATTATCCCCCTAATATGAACCATTCAAGGTGTTGCGATCAAGCAATATGTACGGAGTGCTTTGTTCAGATAAAGAGGACCGAACCCACGGCTACGCATCTCGTATGTGAGCCAGCAGCATGCCCATATTGTGTGCAGGAGAATTTTGGTGTAGTATATACACCTCCATCATGGCGTACTGGAATTGGGAGCGATGGAACGGTTTGTTTTCCTTAGACATATTCCTTATTATCACTGACGAGGTAACTTCGTTCTTTACTCATTATTATTCAGTCGTTGCCAGTATGGTCGGATGCTCCCAAAGGCTCGCAGCAGAATATACCCAATGCGGCCCAAAAACGACGTCGCAAGAGCTTTGGTCATGATAGTCCGGAAGTGGTCACTACAGGTAAATGACTCATGTTCAAATGTCGCATATCATCATGTTTTGCTGTGCATAGATTCTATAAGGCCGGACTGGGAAGCTAAACTTGCCGCCGTTCGAGCTGCAGTTACGCGCCGTGCAAACAGGCGAATAATCATGCGTCAAGTAGGAGACAGACTCATCCCAGTTGGTGTGACCAGTGGCCGCGTTCATCCCCTACCGACTGGCGAGGCTCAGGATGGCGGTGAAGTAGACAACGGTACCAGTCGAAGAAGTCGACGACATAGAAATAATGGTGGTCAGCCGGACATCAGTCAGTTGTTGGGTCAGATGGGGCTTGGCGGTCAAGATCTGGAAGAGGTATTAGCTGTGTGCTCAGACGTATTTGAACTAATATCCCTTTTTCAGTTAATGGTGATGGAGGCTATGCGCCTGTCACTTTTAGAGCATGAGGAGCAGCAGAAAAAAGAAGAAGAGAAACGGAAGAAAGAAGCTTCTGCTACTGCTTCAGTAGAGGGAGATACTGCTGGTCGGTCGAGTGAGGATCGGACGACGACAGACACAGTAGGGAACGACGCTTCCAATATCCCATCGGGCGCCCGGAGCTTGGAGTCAGGAGAGGCAATAGCCGAAGCGAATCACGGTGGTAGTCGGGCAATGACTCCTGCAGCAGGTCAACCAACCTCTTCATCTCACTCGCAGACACCCGTTGATGCCAACGCCACCCGCAGTGATGGGACAATCTCGATTTCAGGCTACCCACAATGCCTGACACCGGGCACTTCATCTCCGATGATTAATAATGGAACTGTTGATTCAGCATCGGCCGTGCCCGATGGAGTAGCCAAGCTCTCAAGTCAGAATGCTTCCATGTATATTGACAGCATGCAGCCATCCGCAGGGACGCCTGGTGCGACCTCCGTATCGACCTCTATTTCCAGCCTCAATACTCTAGGACAGCCATCTTATGATGTACTTCCATCTTCACCAGAATCGTCAATGGAGCAGCCGTTATTGAAGACGGACTCGGTAGGCCGGGCGGCTGCCGTAAAGGCCGCTGATTCATGATCGTCAATTGCATGGTACTGGGATGGAGGTGGAGGTGGTGTTAGTTATCGTGTCATTCATCGTTTATAGATCCTGGAGGAGCATCTTTCGTAATTCATAATGTTTGCATACTTGTTAAACAGCCTGTTGAATACATCACCACGACATGAATTTGAATTTATTCGCCACTCTCATGTTATGGCGTAATTGCCGTTCACGATCAAACTTCGTGGAAGATGAGTGTCATGTGGCCCAAACTCGGTGATGGCGTATATCTCGCTTCATCTGTGTATCCGCGGAGGAGTGACAATGGTGAGATGTTTCTCACTATTGCGTTCATGAACGGGTGCAATTACACATTGACTGGTCACAATTCTGATCTGCATGTGTGCTACCGTCTCACGGCGGGGGAACCTGTCGAGCGGCACCGACATTACAAATTACGCAGTAAACACATACTGTCCAGTAAGAAAAAGAGAGCGCTAAACAGAGATACCGATCACTATCGACGATTTTGTTGGTCGGCCCAAATGGGTTTTCCTGCATCTGGATCGTTCTAGTCGTAGAAATTAGATGTGCATCAGACAGAACGTGAAGAAATGCTGACCTGAGCATCTATCTGACGCTTTATGGTCTGCTCTTGAAGGAGTCTGGCTGCGCGGTTTGCATCGACCTTTCGCCGCAGATCAGGTGACATCGCCTGCCAAGTGCGTTTATAGTGAGACATGGTTCCACTAAAGATGATGATTGCAAAGCATGCGCATGCCATGGCATAGCCTCGGAATGATACAGCGTGACCCAATGGCGAAAGATGGGGCAAAGAACTCACGGCATATGTCTGTTCAGGTGTAGGTACGGTCGCTACAAATCAAGAACAAGGCGGCGATGACGTTCAATCCATCAGGAGAAACAGAACAAGAGTCGTCCAAACAATAGTAGGCGAATCAGATGGTGAAGGTCCCCGGGTTGATAGTAGTAGAAGACGAACCGCTCATCAAAAGGTAACCCAGGCCCATCACTGGTGCAGAAAAAGTGCCGTGCATCATGTGCGTCGAGTGAATTTCAACCCAGTCCCAGCTACCATCAGCTTCTGTGTTTGCTAGGTCGAGATAAGGACTCACGACCGCCTCCTAGCAATGTCATTCTGAACCACGGAAAACTCATTGTGTGTGATATTGGCGAGTTATCAAGTAAGGCCCGGAGGCAAGTTAATGGTGCAAGCAGAGTATTTACTTATTTGTATCTCAGCATCATTGGCGCATCATACCTGGAAGTTAACTCCGGAACCTGGACCACCCATCAACTTTGTATGTACCATCTTGGGTGGTATATCTCATTAAAACGGTATCCGAGGACATGTGCCAACGAAATTAATAAATATGCGATGATAGTAGAATCGGACATTCTACAGTGAGTCGTGCTGGTATGAAGTATTGATTGGACTATGCGGAGAGAACCTATGCTAGATATAAGGAAAACATGACAGCGGAAAACAGTGGCGATAAATAGTGTAGAATGCAGGGAATCCGTGTAGTCAGCCTTCCGCTTGCAGAAATGTCCGTATGACTTGTTGGCCATTCAGCTTCCTGCGCTGGGACACAAAATCCATCATATCCGCAGTGCTTCTGCGGCTCACCAATTCTATTCTCGCTAGTTCCTCCTCCCACGCGCGCATCTCCACTTGTCCGACTTTCTCGAACAACAAGCTACCTTCTGCGCCAGTAGCACCTTCAGGTATTGTAGAGTGGGCTCCTTCCGAGCTCGCGCCTGAACTAGAATGGCCAAGCCGCGGGGCTTCCACCCACTTCTGGTTGAAAGCACCACGAGTACTGCGTCTATTGGTAGTGGGTCCACTATATGCGGTTTCGGGGCGCAGAGGGACGGGATGTCGATTATTATGATTGTGGAGATGGTTATATCCCTGTGGATCGTACCCATGCGGCGTGTCCCGGGGCCCCGCAGAAGTGTGGGGTCTGCGTACGGACTTCAGTTTGTATTTGCTTCCGGGTTGTGGTGATGGTACAGAAGAAAACTTGTGGGTATGGCCATTTGATATTTCATGCTCGGCTTTAGCTACAGTGGGCGCCTTTTCTGGTACTTGGACGACTACAGGAGGGCTACGAGGCGGTGACGGTAGTTGAGTATTTGTATTTGGACGTTCTCGCTTTGATCGTTTTGGGGACCTAGACTTGGATTGGCTTGCGGCGGAATAGCGTGAAAGAGCCAATTGACGCTGAGCCTCGTTGGTTGAGACTACAATAATTTCTTGGTCATCAAGCTCGACCGTTTCAGCGCTCGAGGTAGGGGAGGAGACGATCAACTGAAACACATGATTAGGCAAACAACAGGGGGAAAATATGCAATATACCTTTACGCGAATAAAAAACCTGATAGAAGCCGTGCCAGTCTGAAGTGTTTCTCCAACCGTCCACCGGCTACTGGGACTGGCATCGGGCCAAGAAAAGGTGAGAGTCTGACGCCAGGTCCCGGTAGAATCACGAGTGAAGCGATGGGAAGATTCAAGATGAGCAAAAATATGTGTCGTTGTTCGTTCGCTTGTGTGAGTCACTTGTGAGGTACTAGGCACTGATGATTGTTGTTGTGGCAGAAGAGGGCGCGTGTCAGATATCGAGGAAGAAGTTGAGGAAGGGCAGTGGAGATCGTTGGAAGAGGAAGCAGCGGATGCGAGGTCGTAAGAGTTCGCTGCGACAGAATGATCATGGGAGTTTGTTTCTTGATTTGACGCGAGGTATGAGTGCGATGATAATGTAGGGGCTGATGGTGTCGAAGTACCAGAAGGGGATGTTTGAAGTTCTGAGAATTGTATTCTTCTTTCGACCACGGCAGTCGCACTGCGGATGGATACTGCTGAATCGAGTGGTTGAACAGTGACTTGTAAAGAAACGATGTCGAGGGGACCAACGGGTTTAGTGGGCAGTATAATTTGATAACGGAGTGAAGGGCTTCTAGACTTTGTGCTCATGGAAGATAGATGAGATGTTGGGGGCGGGGTTACTGGAGAGGGTGGAGACAAATTTCCTGGTAAGTCATGGCGGATCAAATAGAGATCGCAATGTTTAAGCAAGCGAGAACCGATGCCCGGAACGGGAGCGTGATTGACAACTAAATGACATAAGACACGAGTTAAGTATTGAATGCTTGAAAGGACATACCGGCCTCGATTCGCCAACATATTCGATACTCTTGAAAGTAAAGAGCTGAGCTGGGTCCAACATTATGAACTGGGATGGTAAGTCGGAATGGGTGTTCCACATTTCCTATCTCTGCCCAATCTTGGCCATCTGGTTTCCTCCATAAGGTGACTGAGTGCTCTACCAAAATTTTGGATTGTGCTCCCCCCAACCGGCCATGCCGAAATTCATAACATCGAACAAAGACTGTTATATCTTTGGCAGAGAGATGTTTTCCATCCTGCTCTATTTCAGTGCGAACGGCTGAGTGAGGGGATATGAGAGGATGATAATAAATGACAGAAAAACATACGGACCTCCTTCGAACTTGAGGGGTGTCAAGCCGAGGTAGCCACTGTGAGGAAAGAAACGGACGCCATGGTTGCCTTTCGGGGAGATAATTGTAAGCTTGACCATTGGGACGAGGGTAAGATTGGGGATGAGGTTGAGTGGGACGAGGAGTAAAAGAGTGAAGGAAAAGAGAGTGATGGAGGAAGGATGTAAAGACGCCCAGAAGCAATTGGGATAAATAAGTGGTCAATAATTGGTACCAAGAATATTCATGACAGCGAGCGAGAAGCAAGAGCATCGCGACACGATCTCCCGATCTGTGATCCAGATCTACGGAGCACCGGCGTTGAATATAGCATTGTCACGCCGGGTACTTGTCACGCGGCTACTCCCGTTCGCTCAACTCTTGGAGTCTCGCTTCGACCACCACGCCATCAAGCAGCCAAGGATGCCTTCGTCGTTCTACGTTCCGATTCTCCTTGCGGGTATGATAATTACGGTATGTAATCTTGTTGCTCCAAATGTGCACCATCTAATGGATTGTAGGGGTCGAGTAACTCTTTGTGGAGCAAATGGCAGGTGCAGTGTTTCAGCCTCACGTTCAGAGACACGGCATTGACGAGTAGAATAGGACATGCAATGCGTGGAGAATTGCAGCGATCCCAACCCTGCACACCACGTTCTTTACGAGCAACCTGTATGGCAGACTCTGCAGATGTTCCGTCCGTAGTCTTTTTGTTTATTGGTACCACGTTCTACGCTAACTATCCGTGCTAGTCGGCGAAATGCTTTGTCAGTCTCAGTTTCCACCCAAATATTTGTATATTCATAGATATCGCATCTAGGCTTTCTCCCTGTCATTTATACGTGGCTCCGTGCACGTCAGCGTACTGCACCCGTATTCCTTCCGTCAGATTTAGAAGACGAGCCCGGTAAAGTCGACCAAACTTGTGAGGAGCTACGAGGTTGGAAAATTCTTCTTTTATGGTTTCCCGCTGCTTGCGATCTTACCGGAACAACGGTCCGTACATCTTCCATATTTCATGAATCCCCCTCTCTGATCACAATTCAAACAGCTTATGAATGTCGGTCTCCTTTATACACCCGTTTCAATCTATCAGATGACACGTGGGGCTCTCGTTCTTTTCGTGGGCACCCTTAGCGTTATCTTCTTACACCGTCGTCTATGGCTCTATCAGTACGTCCTCTCTCCTTCTCCCATTCCATACTCCTCACTTGTTTCTACACAGATGGGTCTCTCTTTTGACTGTCATGGCCGGTATCTCGCTCGTAGGATACAGCGGTTCGCTTATTAAAGATGCTGTACACTCTACCTTGCATCTCTTAGGATCCGACCAGCCAGAACCTGAAGTCACCAAAGTCCTCGTTGGTTGGTCATCTCATTGCTTTCTATGGAAGTTTATACTGATCGTATGTAGGCATCTTCTTCGTTCTCTTCGCCCAGGTGTTGTAAGTATCTCATAATCCCTTACTTCAGCGACTAAGAATAGCTCCCACCCAGTACGGCAACACAGTTCGTTGTAGAAGAGAAGATCATGGCCCGTTACTCCGTGGCACCTTTGGTTGCTGTGGGCTACGAGGGCTTATTCGGCGCACTCACCATCATCATGTGCATGCCCATTCTCGCTATGCCGTCAATTGCTTCCAGCTCGCCTTTCTTCGACCTTCCTAGGGGTTGGTACCAATTCGTTAACACCCCCAGCGTCCTTTGGTCGGGCATCGTCGTCGCCATCAGTATCTCGTTGTTTAATTACTTCGGCTTGAGTGTCACAAGGCATGTAAGCGCCACCGCAAGGAGCCTGACAGACACCTGCAGAACACTCTCGATCTGGCTAGTCAGCCTTGCACTAGGCTGGGAGAAACTTCTTTTCCCCATTTCACTCCTCCAAGTGCTGGGATTCTCCTTCTTGGTGTAAGAAAGTTCTTTATACAATTCTTACGTGATGCTCACATGTCTTTTATATTCTAGGTATGGCACGGTACGTCTTACTCGCGTTCTGATGGTACTTATTGTTTAACGTAGTCTTCTAGTTCCTTTTCAATGGTTTGGTCAACCCTCCCTCTTTCCTCCACACCCCCTTGGCCCTAGAGGAGACGGTGGGTGGCGAAGCGGAAGAGGGGGAGGCCTTGCTCGCTTCACAGCATCTGGACGATACTGCTGCTCTACCTGTTGACCTTGGTCAAGGTGGCTACGATGTTTTGCCTAAAGATGTCAGAGTACATGCGCAAGGTGTCTCGTCAGAAGATTGAGGCAGGATCCACCCATATGATACTTACACCTATTATTCACATTGATCCGTGGACATATGCTGATGCGGACGCCACACACAATTGATGCGCACTGCCGTTTATTAATTTTGATGCCGTTCACGGACCCGCATGTGAACAACAACTCTAGCACCACATGGTCTTCGACAGGGATCAGATGCACGATGCATTTTTCGGATATATGGATAACAATTGAACAAGGTCAAGCAAGTCTCCTGCCTTTCAAGTCTCGCAGTTCCCCGAACGAGCAACATTTCATCATCTAAAGTGGTCGCGAGCTCTTGTGCTGAGAACCAAGCGGCGAATTTCGGCAATTTGCACGTCTACTCTTCCTGTCTTCTCTCATATCAGTAAAAGGCTGGACGTTGTACACCGGATACAGGCTGGCTTCGACAGGTTCTTCCAACGACACGAGGCAGAACGTTAACCTATAAGTACGGTGGAGTCGAGGCTTCTCGAAGGTGCTACGGGCGCGAACAGAAAGTGCATATTTCCACTACATACCTTGGCAAACTTTATTACTCATTCAAAAGAGGCTCTAACCACTTATCAACGCTGCGTGCATGCGGTGAAAGGTGGCGCATGCTCAAAATCGCCGAACTTGAAATGGCGCTAACTACTGGCAGCGACTGAGTATATATATATACTTCCCTAGGAGGTTTACTCGGATTTATGCTTAATTCGTGACCATGGGTTATAGAATCACCTTAACAGACTTGGCCGTTGTTTGCTGCGATAAGTATCTACGAACCGAGCTCTGTCACCAAAAATTTATTTGTATTGTGCAAGGTTGTACACTCCAATGAAACGTGTTTTAAATTGGCGATCATCGTAGGTCCGAAAGTCGCACGAATTTGGTTCATGTTTCAACCGCCAGCGAAACATGTTTACGCTGTGCCAGCTGCTAAAGTCTTTTGAGAAGATGAATCCAATTGAGGATGTTAAGCATGCTTACGGGTAGTGTGTCACAGCTTGAACACTCCATATTAGGTCATTCGGAGGACTCGTCGTCGCTGTCGCTGTCGCTGCTAGTGGTATCCACAAGGGCCGCATCTTCTAAATTCTCAATGTTCCAGCCAATCATCGATTTCGTAATGGCCAAAACTTTCAATTGCTGTGCGATGTCTAATATAATCTCATCGCTGCGGAAGTAAAGATGTTTATATTAATACTGGCCATTCCATCGGAAGATTAAAGTGACTCCGCACCTCGCAGATGCTTGGATCCAAACGCAGAAATCATCGACCCAGATTTTGTTATACACGTAATACACTTCATGATGGTCCAAAACGTGTTTCATCTCCAATAGGTAGCGCGTGACCATTCTTCTGCCCTTTGCCAAAACGGCCGCTACATCATTCCGACAAGCATCGGCCATTGCGAAAGAGCGATAGAGAGGGAATGCAAGGGAACGCCGATAAGACGGCATCAAAGCCGAAGCGAGATCATGATCGGTGAACCCCGGCGTGGGGATAGACAGAGGAACGTTTTCTGAAGATAGGTATGGAGGGGGATCCAGTGCTGAGAACGCAGGGATGAGTGAACAAATCGTCCAAGCGCTTTCAGGGGTAGGGTCATGCTGTGTCGTGCGCCTGTCATAGGCAGATGCGAATAGCAAGGTCAACAGTGTCAGATACAGATTTCGCTGCTGTAATTCCGTCGGCAAGTCTGTTATAAATTACAATGTTCTCAGCGTGGATACATAATCAAGCGCGGATACCGCTCACATTCTTTGCGCGGTAAATTGAGCATCGTCATATTCTCGCTCTCGGTGAATATACATTCGGCATCTTTGAGCCCGGGATCTTCCCAGGCAAGAAGTTCTTGGATGTACTCATCATCCATATAGTCCGCCCTGCAGGAGGAGGCGAGTGAGCGTTCAGATCGATGCCTTGTTCAGGGATCCTACATATAATGCTCTTCATCCCATTTTTTCTCTTCATGTTGCAATCTTTTCGCTCGTCGTTCTTCTGGTAAACAACTCTCAGCCTCACTCCCAAGTTCATCGACATCATTTTCTGCGTGAACGACGTGGGTGAAGTACCCTGTGTACATGTTCAAAAACCCATAGTATCTCTTTGTGGATAGCTGTAATGGAGAATAAGATTCTGCGATAGTCTGGGGAAACTGCCAGTCATTTTCAGCAGCTGGAAATGATTTGAGGATGTTGGTTGAAGCATGAAGTCATCGCACGCACCTTCCAATATTTCCCGTTGTTCGAGCGAGATTGCATCAGTTAAATCCACAAGTTCTTCCAGCTCGCTTTGTGATGAAGCCTCAGACCCGATGACTTCTATCGCCGGTTGTTTTGGAACTTCGACATGACGAGGGGCCAGTAGCTTTGCTAGCAAGTCCAAGTCAGGGAATTCTTGTCCCTTCACCTCTTTAGTTAGTGTAACTGTTAAATATCCACTGCTTGGATCATAGGTTGCAGAGGATTGGTCGTCTTCGAGAACCGAATGAGGGAAATTTATGCGAAGGAAGTAAGGGTTGATATGAACGGTCAACAACGTTTCATCGACGTTGATCTCCACATCAGAGGCCTACTTTGAGGATATCATTGATCAGGATTGGGAACATAAGTGCTGCACAGACGTACTCTTACTGATGGGCAATAGATTGATACTACTACTGCTTCAAGAGTTTGGGTACAGTGAAACCGTGGAGTTATCATATTGCGACGACCTCCGAGCGAGTCAACTTGAAACACCGGGAAGTTGACGGTTATTCAAGTTTTGTGAAAGACCCGGCGAATATATCTGATCCTAGGATCTGATCTAGACGGAATACCCGTCTTTCCTCGACTAGTGGCTACGATTTGATGCGATGTTGCTCGGAGTTTGGATGGTGATATCAAGACAAGTTTCAGAGTCATGTGTGCATGTGATGACTCGTGCGGCTAGCATCTGCAGGTCAAAGTAGTGCTACTTATACCTTAGGCTAATCGGTGGATGTTTCAATCACTTTATCCCTCAAGACAAACATGGACCCTCAGGTATGTGAGACGTTGCATAACAGGTTTAGACACTGATGTTATTTGCTTGTAGAAATTTACAGCGTATCCATCTCTCGCCGCTGTAGAACAACTCATCATTCGCGAGAAGCGAGGCAACTGCGTTCCAATATTTATCCAGCTTCCTGCAGATCTTATCACACCATGTATGGCATATCTTCGAGTAGCCAAAGACTCCAAGTACAGCTTCCTACTGGAGTCGGTTATTGCGGGGGAGAACATCGCCAGGTACAGTTTCGTCGGCGCAGGTAGGGTGCCCGCTCCGATGTTACGGCTTTCAACATCAATTGACGCGCATTAGACCCACTGAAGGTCATCAAAACTGGACCGAACGAGGAATTTCAGGGAGATCCACTTTCTGCTCTACAACGCGAGCTCGCCGTTCACCAATATGTGAAAATTCCTGAAATTCCAACTTTCACCGGAGGCGCGATCGGATACGTGTCCTATGACTGCATACAGTACTTCGAGCCCAAGACTGCTCGACAACTCAGTGATCCTTTGTCTATCCCGGAATCTTTGTTTATGATTTGCGACACCCTCCTCATTTACGATCACCTATTCCAGTCTATCAAGATCGTCTCTCATGTCTTCTATCCCAAAGATGCCGGCACCACCAACCTTCCTTTCGTATATCAAACTGCTCAGTCAAAAATCCGTCGGCTAGCAAAAGTACTTTTGAGTCACACAACTCCCGAAGTACTGCAGCCTCCAATTACGTTAGGAAACCAAGCCGTATCCAACATAGGCAAAGAAGGCTATGAGTCATTTGTAACCAAGCTCAAGGAGCACATTATTGCCGGTGATATCATCCAAGCAGTTCCATCTCAAGCGCCTTGCTCGTCCAACAAATTTACACCCTTTTAATGCATACAGACATCTTCGCCAAGTCAACCCTAGCCCTTATATGTTTTATTTGGATTGCGGAGAGCTCCAGATAGTCGGCGCCAGCCCAGAGACTCTTTGTAAAGTGGAAGCAAACAAGGTCTACAACCACGCCATTGCCGGGACCGTCAAGAGAGGAAAGACTCCAGCAGGCTAGTCTTAATGTCCTTCCCGGGGCAAGCTATCTTGACTCCTTTTACAGAGGACAGCGAGCTTGCTAAACAGCTCCTTTCATCTGAAAAGGACCGAGCGGAACACATCATGCTTGTTGATCTTGCCAGAAATGACGTTAATCGGGTTTGCAAGCCGGAGACCGTGAAAGTTGATCACCTTATGGCGGTACAAAAATTCAGTCATGTCATCCATTTAACGTCCCAAGTTTCGGGAATGCTGAGGGAAGGGTTCTCGAGGTATTTCACTGATGATCGTGTTTCCTGTAATTACCAACAGTTTTAACAGGTTCGATGCTTTCCGCTCCATATTCCCCGCGGGAACTGTATCGGGAGCTCCTAAGATCAAAGCCATCGAACTGATTGCCGAACTAGAGGGCGAACGGAGGGGAGTTTATGCCGGTGGCGTCGGACGTTTCGACTTCGCTGATGACGAAATGGACACATGTATTGCTATTCGTACAATGACATTCAAGGACGGGGTTGCCTACTTACAGGCAGGAGGAGGCATCGTTTTTGACAGTATGGAAGACGAGGAGTATGTAGAGACCCTCAACAAACTGGGAGGCAATCTGCGAGCACTGATTGATGCAGAGAGTAAGTCTTGTTACTAAATTATGAAGTTGCATTTACTGAAGGAGGATACAGAATACTGGAGTGAGATTCAAGCGTCACATCCATTACAACGTTGATCCCACGTAGTAAAACTAATCTCTGTCAGCTACATATCGTGTAGTACCTCGTTCTTGAGCACGCATGTATCGAGCTTGTCGTAGCTCTTTAATCTGCACTTCTCTATCTCGCAAAACTCTCCCTTCCCTGCCAGCTATGCTGAGAACACCTGCAATTAACTCTGCTGCTCGAGGGCTCTCGTCATTTGCAGGGAATGGCATACATGACCACGCGAGGATCGACGTTCGAGTCGACAATGCCGATAGTAGGAATATGCTGTATTGCGCATTCGCGGATGGCATGGATGTTAGCCAGAGGGTTTAGGAAGATGACCAGGTCGGGTGTAACACGCTGCCCTCTTGTGACGTCAGACCCAAACAATTGCAGTTTGTTCGTAAGTGTGCCAGGCAGCCATCTTTCGCCAACATGGAAAGCCTGTGGTCCAATCCTCTCTGCGGCTTTGCGCACAACAGCACGCAGATCTGGACGAGTGCCCACGAAGACAACTGTGCCATCCCTTGCAACGACAGCACGGGTGAGGTTCGCAGCCCTCCGCAACAGCGGAAGGGTCGAGTCAAGGTCGATTATGGTGATACCAGCGCGAACACCGTACGCGTAGGGCATAAAATTTGGATTGAGCAAAGATTTAGCGTGCCCAAAATGTGCACCAGCAGCTATTAGTGCGGATAACGTTGCTTCAGACGGAGCGAGAGGCCGGTGCAACTGGTGGTGGGGTTGAAAGGTGTTATCTCGCGTCACATTAGAGCCATGCTCGCTGAATAGATCGACTACACGAGATAATAAGTAAAAGACAGTCTGCTACACGAAGAAAGACACTGACCGAGCATTTTGAAACGTATCCGGCGGTCTTGCAACGACTGCCAATCATCTGGTGACTGCAGAGGAAATGGTTGGTCACTGGAAGTGAATACATTTCGTCTATGTTGTAGGACCGAAAGATGGCTTCTACGCATACATCTTGTGGCAGAAAGCCATGGTCTTAGACCTGCCTTGGTAGACATGTCGAAGAATGGGTAGTGCTGGTGGCAGTGCAAAATTTGATACCACTGGTCAGGATGCTTACTTCAGCTGGGTGATCGATTTTTTTCGATTGCTCTTCTGCCCATCACCACCATCCGGCTTCATCTCTCTTTACTTTTTGTTTGTCTCTTTAAAAAATGGAAGACGCATTTGACGGCGCTGTTGGCATTGATCTCGGTACTACCTACTCGTGAGCGTCCATAATTTGCTGTCATCATGATACTGACATCGTCTCTTAGCTGTGTGGGTGTATGGCAAAATGATCGAGTTGAGATCATCGCCAACGATCGTAAGTTTCTGTGCCATACGACGAGTTCACACATTCATCTGTGTGAGTTCTGCAGAGGGTAACCGGACAACTCCTTCATATGTCGCATTCTCTGCGGAGGAGCGTCTAATCGGTGATGCTGCAAAAAATCAGGCTGCTATGAACCCCCGCAACACAGTCTTTGATGCCAAGCGTCTCATCGGCCGTCGTTATGAGTGAGTATCTCATGAAGTATCCTTCGATAGCCTTGATGACATGCGAAAAATTAGTGACCCCGACGTCAAGAAGGTTAGTATGAGGATTCATAACTGAAATGCGATGCTAAATATATCACTCCAGGACATGACTCACTGGCCTTTCGAGGTAGTAGAGAAGGAGGGTTCACCTTTGATCAAGGTCAACTACCTTGGCGAGGAGAAGGTTTTCAGCCCCCAGGAGATCTCGTCAATGGTTCTCACTAAAATGAAAGAGATTTCGGAGGCAAAGCTCGGCAAGACTGTCACCAAGGCTGTCGTCACGTGAGTTGCTCTTTTCGTATCATGTGTGAATTTGTTCTGACGCGAATGACCAGCGTCCCTGCCTACTTTAACGACTCGCAACGTTTGGCAACCAAAGACGCTGGTACCATCGCTGGCCTTGATGTTCTCCGTATCATTAACGAGCCCACTGCCGCTGCCATCGCGTATGGTTTGGATCGTCAATCAAAAGCGGAGAAAAACGTTTTGATCTTCGATCTTGGTGGAGGAACTTTCGATGTCTCGTTGCTCAACATCAGTGGTGGTGTCTTCGCAGTTAAGGCCACCGCAGGTGACACTCACTTGGGTGGTGAGGATTTCGACAACACCCTCTTGGATCACTTCAAGAATGAGTTCAAGAGGAAGACGAAGCACGATATCTCTGAGGACCCCCGTGCACTCAGACGACTCAGAAGTGCTTGCGAGCGTGCCAAGCGCACCCTCTCGAGTGTCACCCAGACCACCGTTGAGGTTGATTCGTTGTACCAGGTTAGCATGTCACGTGTGCACTCGAAAGTTGGATTTATCTCATACATCCATGACTAGGGTGAAGACTTCTCTGCCAACATTACTCGTGCCCGTTTCGAGGAGATCAATGCCGCTATGTTCAAGTCGACCATTGAGCCCGTCGAGAAAGTGCTCAAGGATGCTAAGATGCCTCGTGAGAAGGTCGATGATATCGTTCTCGTTGGTGGATCCACTCGTATTCCCAAGATTCAATCTCTCGTATCGGAGTACTTCGGTGGACGCCAGCTGAACAAGTCGATCAACCCCGACGAGGCTGTTGCCTACGGTGCCGCTGTGCAGGCTGCTGTTCTCACTGGCCAGACCTCAGAAAAGACTGCGGACCTTCTCCTTCTTGACGTGGCTCCTCTCTCGCTTGGTGTTGCTATGCAGGGCGATGTCTTCGGTGTCGTTGTCCCCCGTAACACTCCCATTCCCACCAACAAGTCGCGGACATTCACGACTGTTGAGGACAACCAGACGACTGTCACCTTCCCTGTGTAAGGCGCATGTTCATTTATCTCCCAACGTCATGCTGACATCTTGACCTTCAGGTATGAGGGTGAACGCACTCAGTGCCGTGATAACCGTCTGCTTGGTGAATTCGAGCTGACTGGTATTCCTCCTATGCCCCGTGGACAGGCTGAGCTTGTTACCACCTTCGAGGTTGATGCTAACGGTCTCCTCAAGGTCTCCGCACAAGACCGAGCTTCTGGCCGCAAGGCATCTATCAGTCAGTGGCGGTCTTCAGATTTGTTAAGCAACTGACATTTTTGTTCAGGCATCACCAACTCCGTTGGTCGTCTATCGTCGGCCGAGATCGACCAGATGATCAAGGACGCTGAGCAATTCAAGCAGGCTGACAAGGAGTTCTCTTCACGTCATGAGGCGAAGTCCGACCTCGAGGCTTACATCCACCAGGTGGAAGGCACTATCACCTCGCCTGAGATCGGCATGAAGCTTAAGCGTGGTGCCAAGTCTCAGGTCGAGACTGAGCTTGCCCGTGCACTTGAAAAGCTCGAGATTGAGGACTCTTCAGCAGATGAGTTGAGGAAGTCGCAGCTTGCCATCAAGCGGGCACTTCAAAAGGCTACTGCTGGCATCCGGTAAACGATGATGATTTTTGATGTTTAGTATGCAAAATAGAGCAGCGTAGTATTTCCATGATGTTGTGTCTGTTGTTCTCCCTGTTTTGCATACCAAAATTTGGCGTTGTATTCGCAATGACATTTCTTTTTGCTTTCGCACTGCATTATGTCTGACAATGTTCAGATCTAGACCAATCTCATTAGAAGTAACACCCAACAGCACTCGGCCGCACCAGTCCCTGATACTATTTTTTTCCTGTATGCTGATACCAACATACATGTAAGCAATTGTCTCGTTCTTGTCTCCCTAAATTCGCGTCCTCCGAGGCACCAAACCATGATCGATATATCTTGGCATGTAATCATTGCGTCTCCCAGCATCTGAATGGGGCCGAAGTCCCATACGAGAGCGTTGTCGTCGACCGTGTTGTGCATATGGTGTGGACAATATCCGATTTCCTTCCTGCTCCGTTCCCCTGTCTCGCATATATGCTCTCCCAAATGGAAAGGATCAGCAGTCACTCTGAACCCTCGTCTTCTGTATTTCATCAGCACATGCAATGTACATAGGTGGGTCAAGTCCTCCAAATACATCCGAGGATTGACGAGGCTCTTGCTTGCGATTGTCCAAGGTGGGTACAGGTAAGCTTGTGGATACCCACAGGTTACCCATGCCGTTGCCTACTCATAGAGATTGACAGCTGTTAGCTCTACAGTGCGACTGATCTCGCGAAAGGGTATGTTGGAGGTAATTTACTGCATACACCAAAGCCTAACATTGTAGACGCCCGCAGGTACCTACTTGAATGTATGACAAAGTAACCAGGAAGCATACATGTCTGACTGTAAATCATTCTTCTGGTTCTGAAATCGAGAAGCTGTCGATGCCAATTATAAGGCATAACGTGCCTAATATTTGATGTACAAATTCAAAGCTGCAACACAAATGAAAAGAACCGCGCTTACTCGGAAGTAGCTTCCCTTCAGTTGTGTCATAGGAACGGCGATGAAAAACATGGCAATCACAAGCCTATAAAAACCGTCAGACTCTTCGAGTGTGTCGAGTGATATCACTTGCGCTGCTTCAACACCAAACACCATCAATCCTCCAGATTTTGTAGCCCATGGGACTTGGAAATATGCGACTGCGAAACCTAGGCCACAATCGTGAATATTGGACAAATCATGCGTTGTTGTAACTCACCGCCCAATGCTCTTGCAAGGTTTAACAGGGCACTGACTTCGCCCTAGAAGGGGAGGTCATATCACTGAAACGCACATGAATATATATGCGTCACTCACTGCCCTACGAGGGAAGCAGTCATTACAATATGCATCTAGTAATGCTCCTTGAGTTATCCCACGACACTTGAAATATTGGATCCGAGACTTACACACCGCAACAGTATTGAGGGTGATTGCAACGATCGCAATGCCCCAGCCCATGATGAGAGCGGCTTCGCTGAGATTTTGTATCCCAGCGCCCAGCGTCAAAAAGCCACAGATATAAAGCGGCATGGCTAAGTAACAGGTCCTACACAAATTCTCAGTTCTAACCTGAGACAGTACCATCAGTTGAGTTTGCATACCATAAGCGGCTCTCG